TTTTGCCTCACTTGTCATGATTACACCCCCCCCCCCGACTAAAAGTCATGTTGGCTCCGGTTCGGGGGTTCTATTGAAAACTATTTCATCAACGTTTTATCATTATGCAGAAAGTCCAATATGAAATCTAAATCAGGTAAATATGTTGCATTTACTGAAGGAATTATAATACACTGTAAACTATAATGTTTGATATGAATATGAATACATCCATACAACCATATTCTCAAAATCCATTCTTTTGAAATAAGATGTTACAACAAAGGCAATTGAAAACTTTGAACCTGGGAATCTAAACTACAGTGGTAATTAACTTTCTGATTGCTAATTATGTGTATCAACTCTTTGATTGCCCCTCAGTTGGAGATTAAATCTTAAAATTTGATCAAAGGGATTATAATTTTCCCCGTTTCTCTTATCTATGTTACAATGTTTATATTCGTTATTGTGTCACCGGAATGTTTTGATAAACAAAAACAAAATGTTTTTTGGACATCAACATTAGACAAAAGTTCAATATACCATTCTAGATACATTGTATATTTGTTACATCCTTCATACCAGTGTTAGAAGCTCAAACGGACGCCAGTTTTGATTATATATTCAGCATGGTTTAAAACAATTGGTGGATTTGGAGGGGGGGGGGGGGGGTGACCCGAGAGGGGACATTATCAAGGTGGTTCACGGGGCGAACTTAGGCATTGGCAAGGGGGTAGGACATACTCTGGTGAAAAACTGTCTTCTTTTTGGCTCTTGAGACACTTCTTCACAGATCTCTTCGGCAATATAAGACCCATTTGTCTGAAAATAAGGTTCTTTTCTTGTTACTTCGAATTAACCACTTTAATTATGTGGACATACAATTTTTCGAAAATTACAAAAATGCTCACAATAAATTAATCTTAATATTGGCTTGATCAAATATATCTTTAAGACCCTTAGTCTTTTGAAATTTCCAAACCGTATAATACACTACCATGTTTCGCATGGGTATATCCTCATTTATATTCTAGTTTGATTTATGTTACATTAAAAATGAATGGTATAATCGGACATGATACGGGTCACTATCACCATTGGGGAGAGGGTGATTAATAATTATATTAAGTAACGCTGGAATAAATTGTGCTTCAAGCCCGTAGCCTGGAGAAAGGTTCGCTAAAGAAACATACAGCAAGTATTTTCCCAGGGGGGGGGGGGGGGGGGGGGGGCACTTTTCAAAAATTTCCGTGATTACATGATTCATTTTTCATACGAATCCTGCACGAATCCTGAATGCTGGAATCATTTGTAAACTACCTTGCATATGAATCCTGCTTGAATCCTGGCTACAGGATTCATTTGTAAAGTACCTTCCATATGAATCCTGCACGAATCCTGAAAGTTGGATTCATTTGTAAACTACCTTCCATATGAATCCTGCACGAATCCTGAAGGTTGGATTCATTTGTAAACTACCTTCCATATGAATCCTGCACGAATCCTGAAGATTGGATTCATTTGTAAACTACCTTCCATATGAATCCTGCACGAATCCTGAAGGTTGGATTCATTTGTAAACTACCTTCCACATGAATCCTGCACGAATCCTGAAGGTTGGATTCATTTGTAAACTACCTTCCATATGTATCCTGCACGAATCCTGAAGGTTGGATTCATTTGTAAACTACCTTCCATATGAATCCTGCACGAATCCTGAAGGTTGGATTCATTTGTAAACTACCTTCCATATGAATCCTGCACGAATCCTGAAGGTTGGATTCATTTGTAAACTACCTTCCATATGAATCCTGCACGAATCCTGAAGGTTGGATTCATTTGTAAACTACCTTCCATATGAATCCTGCACGAATCCTAGCTACAGGATTCATTTGTAAACTACTTAAACAGCGAATCCTGTACGAATCCTGGAGGCAGGATTCATACAGGATTCATATGTGCATATGAATCCTGCTTGAATCCTGCCTTCAGGATTCGGGGATTAGATTCACTTTTTTTTGCTGTGTTGACCCATGATCACAAAAATGAACAGTAATCTAATTTGAGTATCAATTATTTATTAAGTCAACAACTTGATAGAAGGCATGTAGGTTATCTTTAACAACTTCAAACGGTAATATTTTGGATTATAACTTTTTCTGACTGTAAAGAAGGCATATCTTTTAGATCCATTCATAACCTCAAAAAGTATATACAGTATATATACACTGATGGTTAAATCGACTGGAATCGGTGTTATTAAAGTAGCAATCAACCAATCAACATACTTTTCAGCGATGTTGGCTTAATTTTCACCAAAAAGGCAATCCTTTTTTACAATGTTAAATGCAACAAGTATTCTTCATTTTAATACATTCACTAGTTCTTGAAAGGAAAACTGATTTGCATTAAGATTAGTATTCTCCGTGTTATTTCCCCATAGGGGAAATGCATGGTATCCACTGATTTCAGCTCATTTTCGTCATCCAAATTCAATATATTTAAAGTCCCCGAACTATTCACTTTTCCCCTTTGGAAATAAAACATATCTCTAAGTACATTTGAATTGTGGATTTAACATAATAATAAAATATTGCCTTTTTAGTGAAAATTAGCCTATCTTACGATAACCCAACACAGCACCACTGAGGTATTTTGTGTCTCTGTTAATCTAACAGAATCTTCAGTAAGTAGGCTGTTTTATGGTTTTACAGGTCATCCCACCAACCCCTGAATCTTTAGCACCTACAAGCCAGGTAAGCATAATTTGCGCCTTATGTTTGGATCATAATTAGATCTTTGATGGTGTAGCTAATTAGCCCCTAGCCACATTAATCAGTAGTTCGAACTAATTAGACAGCGGATTAGCATAATATGCATTACGACCACCTAATTCATACTAAGGGCCGTTTAGCTTTTTCTATATTTAATTTAATTATTTGGTTTGATTTTGAATGTGAACGACTCCAACAGGCAAACACAATTTTATATTATCAAGTAGGAACAAATACTTGATACTCAATCCTGTGGATTGAAAGCTTAAATCAAGCTAATGGTAAATCAAATACCGTTATGTTTAAGTAAATAATTAAAATAAGTTAAAACCATTACCTGTAAAAGAAGTTCTAACACTTCGAAATCCAATTAAATGTACATCGTGACAATTTCAAATGACCCACCTTCTTACATCCAATATGTAACAGAACATTTCAATTTGAAACCTAATATTGATATCCGTGTCAAAAAAGTATGCACGTAATCAAAAAAGTATACACGGATCATTACGATAATACGTATAATCAAATTTTGTTATTCTACTCAAGACTGCGACGTGTGTTGATATCAACGACATTTAATGTGTTCCATTTTGTTGCCAAGACAATGTGTAATCATGACCATGACGTTTTTATTGAACATATGGCTTACGCTTTCTTAAGAATAGCTTAATGATTTATATCGATGTTATCTTATGTCATACGTGTCCTATGCCTGTTAAGTGTATATATATTGAATAATAGAAAAAGTCTAATAAAAGAATCGGCCAAGGGTAAACCCAATATATGACGTCATCTCATCCGGTTTATCCGCAAATTTCTGAAATGCCCGGATAAAGGTGAAATCGAGACATACCGCTAGAAAAAAGTTTGTACTTGTAAACATAGCTTTGAGCCAGAATTGGCAGAATAAATATTGTTATCGCTAAGCAGTTGGACACTGAATACTCAGTCACTGACCTGAACGAAAGCATAAAACACAGTGATAATTCTGTCCATAAGGACAAAATGAATTATCGAATCCATCTTTATCTGATCAACTATCAAGCCACCAAGCCCAAAAATTAAAATCAAATGCATAAATATGAATATGTTGAAAAGTCGTACCATTTGAAATTAAGATCCGGATATACTTCACTGAAAATGTCAAATTTATCTCAACTGTTCAGTCTTAAATGTTATTTTCAAAATAAGAAAACAAATAAATATTTTAAAGTATGCTATTCGAGTTGGGTTTCTTTCAACAGTAAGCAGTAGGTGCAATAATTTGAATGAAGATTTACGCCTCATTTGTTCGACAATCTGGATGCATCGTGACATATTCCAAAAATCAGTTGCAATAACCTTGGAACATCAGGAGAGTTTGCTAAGTATTTTGCTTTCAACCAAGTATGGTATTACAAATGCTTATTAAGCCTGAATTGTAAAAAAAACATTAAGTTTTTAGTTGAATTCGTCCCTATTAGGTTTCTTCATGTATGATAAATTGGGTACGCTCTTAAACGGTGTACAGGGTGACCACAAAACGGAAACCCTGCATGTTCCTCATATGCTTACCATTTAAAAACAACTCTTCCTATTCAACAAACGTGTACATCATTCAATTTCCAACCAGCCTACCTACTTTCCATATCGAATAACCATCAGACTGATAGTCAAAATGTCACAGCACTTTAAATAACATGCTCCAAGTGTGACCATCATAGCACTGTACATGCTGTACGCTAAGCTGCACACATAGCCAACATTTGTCAATTACCAGACTACATTCCTCTGCAGGTCTGGCCTGAATGACACGGATGATCTCCCATTTGAGGTTTGCAATTGTCCTGAGATCATTCTCGTTACTCTACGCTTAGCACAGTCACAATAGGGAAATACATGTAAATGTGAGAGATCTATTTAGATTCTACCTTTCTAGGACAAATAAGCGCGGATAAATACCGGCCTTTCCTAGATCTGGAGATAATCATCCGACACCCCCCCCCCCAACCCGCATTAGGGCCTACAGCGCGGTAATGGCCACTAATGCATGTCATTTAAAGTGCCGTTGACTGTCAGTCCGAAGGTTATGAAATCTAATGAGAGTGTAGGTAATTGATTCATGTACAAATGTGCTTAATATCAGGGAGTGATTGTTTTAAAATGACAAAGCTATGATGGAAATATCGGCAGTTTTACCATTTTTTGTCCACCCTGTATTTGTCAAGTCCAAAGTTCTTTCATGCAAATGTTCATCAAAATCGTTTAACCAAACATAAAGATTTTGAACGTGGAGTAATCAATTTGGACTACTCTTGACGGATTGGCCTTGTAAGATACACCTGCATCTTTCCGTACGACAGCAAAGCTACAAGCAATTGATTTATCAACTCTATAGTATACCTCTTCAGCATTGAAAGATATTTGCGTATTACCAACGCTATCATCAATTATTAACTTTACCAAAATAACATGCGCTTTTTCAACATCCATTGCCTCAGTGGTATTTTCTTGACTTGCAATTACGATGTTACGGCCGTTTTGTCGAAGCAGTATATGTCCACCACATGGTGTATTCATACGATGCTTATCTGAACCAATTATCGGATTGTAAATTAAAACAAACCACTCCCGCCAATAATACTTGTCGAATAATAAATCGTACACCTCGCTACTAAATTGTTCATTACTCATTCCAGAATTGTCCCTGGCATACGCTATTATTTCTTCTCTAGATTGGGAATAGTACTTATACTTGACATCGACGTCGAACCTCTCGATTTTCAGTCTTATACTCTCTAATCTACTTTCCCATTCTTTATCCCTTTCTTCTTGTATAATCTCAAAAGAATTCATTTTGTAATACGCACTTTCTAGTTTCACTGCTTGTAAGATCATTTCATAAATTCCAAGAAGAAAGACATTCGTCTTCCTGCGGTCATTTTTTGTGTAACGCATAACCGCTTCTCCAAGATTTTCGTTAAAGTAGCCTCCTGGGGTAACTAGTGCTTGGTACAATTTTGTTCCAGCAAGCTTATAATTGCTTTCGTAGCTCTTTATATATAAGTACTTTACATTTTCGTCTGGTGCTGAACTGATATAAAGAAGTCGATATTCTTCCTGCAATGCCGTGAGTGCTGTTTGTATTTCTCCAAATTGAACAGCTGTTTCAGTCCACTTGATTAATCGTTCAACATCATTGAAGCGGCTATCTACTCGGTCGAACTGGGTGTCAATTTCCTTCATCATAGTTTTCATTAATTTCAACTCTTCCGAATCTGCTGATGGGACAAATGTCATGACAAGACCAATAAATGGACCCAATGCGCCAAGGAAACTCTTAATATTTGAAGCAACTGTTTTTGTTAAAAACTTTTTAAAGTCTTGCTCTTTGATGATATCTAGAATTTCTTTTCCAGTCGCAAGACCTTTTTTTATCGCTTGTTTTTGTGCTGCTGTAATGCTCTCAGTTTTTGGCACGAATGCCAAAAGTGCCACCGCAAGGAACCACAGAGACAAAGGTGAAACTGAAAATATAATCGGAAATACGGCACTTTTCCATCACATGTCTAACATATTTCAAATACGAACTTCTATTAACATTATTCTTTTAGTAATGATTTCATTGGTGTATGTATTTTTTTTATTGACAATTGTATCAAAATATGACACATTAGTCTATTGGATTGGATTAGTCTATTAGATGTATTTTGATCAAATCTTCCCTGTATTCGAAACTTGGAATGCAATCTCATTTAGAGTTCAGATGGCAGATGACTAGCAAGCTGTACCATACACTTTACTTGTTTAATATAAAACTAGATATATTATTATCCACCAAACGAAGGGAGAGATATAGAGAAGCCGTCCGTCGGTCCGATCCGTTCATCCGGACGATCAAATACCGATTGACAGATCTCGTTCAGATTTTATAGGCTTGTGTATTATCACGCTGGGGATAGTCATCACGTGACCTTTGCTGTTGATGATGTCTGAACAGGGTTTATTTTTATTCCGATTAAGCCAGAAAAACAGATATTTATCATATTATACTTTTTTAATAGTATTAAATCTCGCCCCACTTATGCATCATATCTCAGTCTTTCAACTAACCTAAATTCCCAAGCAGAGGACGCATATTTTTTTTAGGTATCACTGCTTTTCGTTTTGAAAATTGATGGTGTCTGAACAGCTCTAAAATTCTGTATGATGGTGTCTGTACATATTTTTAAAATACATTACTTGGATATTAGCCCTCATGTTTTCGTGTGTTATTTAAATATATTTGCTTCTTTCCAATGTGTTGTAGCACTTGAACATGGTAATTTGGGAACTCTGGTTTCCAAATCCCAAGGGAGGCATGCTGTGTTAATGTTTTTAATTTTCCAAATGCTATATTGTTTAATTTTAGATTGAACCAAAATCAACTTTCTGCCATCCGTTGGTTGAATTTCCAACATTTTATGTGTAGTACGACAATTTCTATGCAATTGTACATGCTATGCTCACACGGGAATAGCCTGACAACGGTAAAGTCAGATACCGTTGTCACAAATGGCGGACATAACCGTCGCTTCAATTAGATTTTCATGAACTGTATGTTAAATAGAGCAACTAGATTAAATTCTGTTGGTACACTCAACGTTTTTGTCTACTGATCATATAAGTAAATATGTTCTACCATTAAAATAAAGGCTTTAATTTTATCAATCGAAATTATTTTGGACCAGGCAGATGCTATCGCTTGAGCATTCCGACTATACCGTGAGTAGAGCCCGATGAGGTAGTGAGTAAGCTTTCGGATGATCATATAATAGCATGACGTATATCACAAATATTCCTGTTAATTTATCATATACTCCTGGCGTCGGCATATATACATGTAATATCATAATTATGATATCTGACTATGATATCTGACTATTCTATCTGACTATGCTCACAATCCAATGATTTTAATACGAAATTGGGTCCTTCGACCTCGTTGCCAAGATTTATTCAAAATCTGAATCATTTACTCGAACTGTACAGGTGTTATACAAAGTGTCAATGGTTCGATACAATTTTAAACGGAATGAGTGTTTAATGAGGCCACGGGTTTGATTTCCGATAACATCGGATCATTTAAAACAAAGCTTAAGTGAAGATTTTGCTGTTCAAAAGTGCCATTTTGACACTTAATAAATAATACAGGGTGGTCAAAAAATGGAAACCCTTAGGCCATTTTCCTCATATATTTGTCATTTTAAGAAATAACTTCCTGATATTTTGCACATTTCTACATCATTCCATTTCCTATCGGCATTTTTTATTTCATGACAATCAGATTGATAGTCACAATGTTACAGCACTTTACAGAACCTGCCTAGTGGCCACTATGGCGCTGTCGGGCCACCATCACTCGCCATCCAAAATGTCCCTACCTATAGGGATATGGCAAGGAAAAAATGTACGAAAATGACCTCAGGACAATCACAAACCTCAAAAATGAGATCATCCGTATCATTCAGGCCATACCTGCTGTGGAATGCATTCTGCTCATTGACAACTGTGCAGGTTTGCCTACAGTGCAATGATGGCCAAACTTGAAGCATGTTATTCAAAGTGCTGTAAAAATTGTGACTATCAGTCTGATGGTCGTGAAATTTGGTAGGGTGGTAGGAAATTGAATGATGTACAAATGTGTGAAATATCAGGGAGTGAGATCTTTAAAATGACAAAGATATTAGGAAAATGCAGGGTTTCCATTTTTTACCACCCTGTACATATGACATACATTTACGGACCAGAGTATGTCTTATGTATGGCTCATTATCAATTAAAGCGAGTATGAATGAGAAAACAAATCGAAAACCATTGTACGTTTTGCTTATCTCTTAATTTGGACATAAATTTCAACTATAATTCTAGGCCAATTCCGCCTGCTAGAACATCTTAGTAAAGATTCTAACCATCCAAGGTAATTGATAGTGTAGGTATACCAAGTGAAAATTTCAGCTAGATTGATCGAGAAACAATAATTTTAGATAACTTTTAAAGTCATTAAAATGAATAATAAAAATGAATAATAAAAACATATTTTCAAACTTTACATGGGGCAATCACTATCTTGAGATTGAAAAGGGTAGATTGAAAAATAAATCCACCACAGAGCGAAAATGTATATAAAATTATTGCTGTCACAGTGATAATATTGTGGAAGATGAAATGCACTTTGTGACACAATGTAATTAAATGACAATGAAAGAAAAAGGCTCCATACATCTATCCAAAAATAAATCCAGCCCATCTTTTATTAATGTAAACAATGCTGAACAAATCATACTTATATTATAGACAATAGTGGGTCCTATTATCTTTTTCTCAGAGAATTATAAATAAACACAGATCAATAACCATGATGACATTTTTTTAATTATCCCATCGCCCTTAACCTTTCTTATACACGTACATGTATATCCCTCGGTAAATAAAATATATCAACCCTCTGTCCCTACGGTCCCTCGGGTATCAAAAACATCCCATTAAATAACCACTATTAATTTATTAATAATCAAATTGATCGGACATCTGGAAGATAACGTAGAGACCTCGTGAGCCTTAAGATGACCACACAAGATACGGTCGTGTGAATGAACTTGATGAAATTTAAATTTGAGTCATAAAAATTAATATGTACTTTGGCTCGCCTATCAATTTTGGCAAATCGAAGCAAATGGGACCGAGGTATCATGGATGATTCAATTTACCCTGCCTGATCAGAAGTCATGTTCATTAAGCATAAACATGCGATCCAAATTTTTTAACGTTCCCTTTGTATTCTGACATTTTAAAGACGCTTCTGAGCAACGAGAATGATTGTGTACATGTAGCAAAACAGACACAGGCACGAAAGAAAGTACATTTGTAGCAAAACAGACACAGGCACGAAAGAAAGTACAATTGTAGCAAAACAGACACAGGCACGAAAGAAAGTACAATTGTAGCAAAACAGACACAGGCATGAAAGAATGTACAATTGTAGCAAAACAGACACAGGCATGAAAGAATGTACAATTGTAGCAAAACAGACACAGGCATGAAAGAATGTACAATTGTAGCAAAACAGACACAGGCACGAAAGAAAGTACAATTGTAGCAAAACAGACACAGGCACGAAAGAAAGTACAAGTGTAGAAAAACAGACACAGGCACGAAAGAAAGTACAATTGTAGCAAAACAGACACAGGCACGAAAGAAAGTACAAGTGTAGCAAAACAAACACAGGCGCGAAAGAAAGTACAATTGTAACAAAACAGACACAGGCACGAAAGAAAGTACACTTGTAGCAAAACAGACACAGGCACGAAAGAAAGTATAATTGTAACAAAACAGACACAGGCATGAAAGAAAGTACAATTGTAACAAAACAGACACAGGCACGAAAGAAAGTACAATTGTAGCAAAACAGACACAGGCACGAAAGAAAGTATAATTGTAGCAAAACAGACACAGGCACGAAAGAAAGTACAATTGTAGCAAAACAGACACAGGCACGAAAGAAAGTACAATTGTAGCAAAACAGACACAGGCACGAAAGAAAGTACAATTGTAGAAAAACAGACACAGGCACGAAAGAAAGTACAATTGTAGCAAAACAGACACAGGCACGAAAGAAAGTACAATTGTAGCAAAACAGACACAGGCACGAAAGAAAGTACAATTGTAGCAAAACAGACACAGGCACGAAAGAAAGTACAATTGTAGCAAAACAGACACAGGCACGAAAGAAAGTACAATTGTAGCAAAATAGACACAGGCACGAAAGAAAGTACAATTGTAGCAAAACAGACACAGGCACGAAAGAAAGTACAATTGTAGCAAAACAGACACAGGCACGAAAGAAAGTACAATTGTAGCAAAACAGACACAGGCACGAAGGAAAGTACAATTGTAGCAAAACAGACACAGGCACGAAAGAAAGTACAATTGTAGCAAAACAGACACAGGCACGAAAGAAAGTACAATTGTAGCAAAACAGACACAGGCACGAAAGAAAGTACAATTGTTGCAAAACAGACACAAGCACGAAAGAAAGTACAATTGTAGCAAAACAGACACAGGCACGAAAGAAAGTACAATTGTAGCAAAATAGACACATGCACGAAAGAAAGTACAATTGAAGCAAAACAGACACAGGCACGAAAGAAAGTATAATTTATCATGAGCTATTTCTGTATTCCTTGATCCTAGACTTGAATAAAGAATAGGAATTATTACAAAGATGCATGCCTAATGATGGAAAATAACTTACCGAAATTCATGGTGGCTGTTTCAAGTCTTCTTGTATTGTTCAGGAGTCGCTCATCTATTCTCCCAACCTGGTGTGTTGGCATCGTTATATTTATACCCATCATATGCACATTATGACATCATATGTCATTTGATGCACTGCCAGGTTTATTTCATAGTCATAAAATGTTATCAATTTTCAAGATCAGAAAAATATTAATTTCAAAAACATATTGAATGTGACATTATGTTTGTTTGAATACCTGGATAGGGAGGGTGAACTTCTCCAACTCAAAAGTACTTCATTATTTATATTTTAACCAATCATGCACTTTGCTAACAACAGAACACAAACAAAATGCACGTCGTCCATTGGAAATAAACTTCATTTTTGTAAAACATTAACGATCATTTAAAGTCAATTGTTGCCATCAATTGTTAGAACGTCAACCACGCCTATTTCGATAATGATTGGGTCATAGCGCAGAAATGGACATTACGACAACTCTGTCGAACAGGCCAAGTCCATCTCGAATCTGATTGGACCATACCACATCAATTTGACATAGCAATAACTACATGTGGAGCAAACCACGTCAGTACTTCTCTCCAATCCAATCTAACCCGTTCTGTTAACGCAAGAATAGTGAGGTATTCATGTCTCCTGAACTATTTGTTCGCAAACGTGTACGTTTTCTAAAACATACGATACTGATACACGTTTGAGATAAAAATGTCGGGGAAATTCTGCCTACAACGCGTGAAATAAGGAAAAAAGAAAAATCGTACCTTCCATTTTGCAGGAGTGTCTTTGATAAAGAAATAATTATAAATATGTATTTTAGACATGTTTTTAGACATGTTTTAGACATGCTGCCGGTATATTGCACGACGTTATCTATTCAATTCGATCAAATTTGTTCAACGAACACATTCATCAATAATTGTACATGGTAGAGCTTTACAATTGTGATTCTATCAACGGATATTGTATATAATCCACGATAACATCCAGGCGCATCTTCATTTTATGTTTTAAATTTTACATTTTATCAAAAGTAATAATTTCTGCCATTGATCATGATACGAATTAAACGTTTCATAACTGTAATATAAAATTGCCATCTGACAACAAACAGGCTTTAGTATAGTTCAATATAGTTTCAAATATGCTTGAATAATATGCTTGAATATGTATAAATTATGGCACCCCTGTGTTTTTAATCATTAACCCTACTATCCACTGGCGGATCTGGATGGGGGGCAGCACCCCCCCCCCTTTGGTGGGCCCAGAAAAAAATGAATTGGGCCCAAAATAATGTAAGGCCAAAAACTTACAAAGGCCCGTTTAATGGGACTTTTTAGGCAAAAAATGGCATTTTAAGGCCTAATTTTTTTTATTTTAGACCAAATTATCAGGAAATGGGCCTTAAATGTTCAGTGGCCCAAAAATCTTTTCCGCAGAAGCGTAGAGTTTAAATATGCCCCCCCCCACTTGTTGGTGGATCAGCCCCTGCTATCACACCGAACAAAAACACTGGCTTAAACTGTGTACGAACGGGTTGGACGTAATTTTTTTGTTGATCTCTACCAACTTAATGAACGTACTCGAATGGTTAGGTTTTCAAGAACTTGAAGCATTCTTAAAGTTCTTCAAAACGTTGCCAAGTGGTTTTAAACTGTATGCGAACGAAACGAACGTAGCTGCAACCTTCTACGGTCTATTTACGAACTTCGTGGACGTGCTTGGAAAGTAAGGTGAATTAGAATTTTGAATCATTTCAAAATGATGGACTTTGTTCATTCTGTGACGCAAATGAGAAGGCATAGAATTCTCATTTTCGCGATTCGCTCTTTAATCGAGCAGGTGCGAAGATATGTACTTATTTAAGCCCCCCGAAAGGACAACATTTGATTGGTTGATACTTTCCCATTATGCATTTCGACTAGCTATTTGCTTGACCCAAAAGTTCTTAATCAAACTAATAACACAATTTTGTTTTTACACCCGAACGCTAAATAAAACAATGACACCATCGGAAATATTGTTCTTTGTCATTGCTATAACGGTCAGTATACAGAGTATAATCAGTAAAAGCTTGTATAATCAATTCTGCCCAGACATCTCCTCCTAGACCGTTTGACCTTGAGTCCTCACATTGGGCAACATCCTAAGTGGGTCGGTGGGCATTCTACGAAGTTCAGAGGTCAAGGTCAAAGGTTAGTATCTAGGTATTTGGGTTTTTAAGACCCTTAGTCTGTGCTGTGACCCTTGACTACCCATGATTATTTGTCCCGAGGCCAAGGCCAAATTCATGGGTCAATGTCATTCCAAGGTCAAAGGTCAATATCTTGGTATGAAGGGCAATGTTTATTGGTCAAGGTCAAAGTTCAATATCTAAGTATTTGGCATTTTAAGATATTTGAAGACCCTTGGTGACTCATAATCAGGTGACCTGAAGTCAATCAATATTTATAATCCCGAGGTTATATCTAACTATTTGGCGTTTCAAGGCCTTTGGACAAGTTCATCTCAATTAAGGAATCAGTCAAGGTCAAAGAACCCCTTAATTCTTACTATTGAAAATGGGTTCTTACAATACTATCCGACGTAAATCTACTTGTTCTTCTGAGAAAATGAGGATTTCAGCAAGGATGCATTGACTTGACATTGGGTTGATTATTGACTTAGCATTGGGATACCATCATGTATATATGTCATCATGGGAATAGATACAAAATCCTCATTTCCTCGGAAAAACTCAAGTTGATCGAATTTCAAGTACATTCATGCGAGATAGTATTGAAAGAATCCATTTTCAATAGTAAGAATACATGTAGATTACGCTCTGAATATTGAAACAAACTAGAGTTATTATCACAGATACAGACAGACATATTAGATATCTTTTTTCATGAATTTCCTAATTTTTAGATTGTAAAATCTGTTTTCTTGTAAATTGGGCCATCACATATTTAAGAAAACATACCATGAGATGCCATCTTTTTAACGGTGAAACATCATATGACTCACTTCCTGTGTGAACTCTTAAAAGATGGCAGCTTACTGAAAATAAGCACTACATTTTTAAATGATCAATATTGACCATTAAGCTGCCATCTTTTTAGATTTCACACAAGAAGTGATGTCTTCGACTCTCAACTTTTAAAATCTTGCAGCCTATACAGTATATTAAAGTAGCACAAAACTACTGATCTCATTTTTTTAGTGTCCATCCTTTATATAAAGGCAAACATACCATGAGATGCCATTTTTTTAACGGTGAGATGAAACATTGTACGACTGCGAAAAACTGAATCTGTATAATATGGTTTACATGATGTGCCTTTCAGCCATTGTCTTCTTGCAGTGTTATGTTTAATTAGGAACCAATTTACGACTCATGGCGACATATATCAAAAATGCATTTGACGTTTGACGTTTAAGTTCACTGTGAAAACGAAAAGCTTATAAGTCTGATAAAACAATCAGAAAAATATGTTTTTATAAGGTCATATATAAAATATGTAGTCTAAAAATAGCCATGTTTTGACAAAAACCTTTATAGAAAATATATTTTGGTTTAAACTTCTGACCTATGTCTGACGAACAGATGTCAAGCTTAAAATATATACAAAAATGCAAACTTTGTCAACTTCGCGCTTTTGAATATTAACCACGCAGATGCCTTTCAATCGTAAAATGATTAAATACAATAAAGATTTACAATGGTATCAATTAGTGTAAAAAACACTTGATTCTTTTAACAACAATTAATTGAAACTCCTCACAAGTACAATGAGGTCATGTCAATCTACACCCTGTTCAGCCCAACTTCAAAAATATATCAAATATTGTAAAACAAATATACCGCCCCATGAAATGGTACTTGATTGAACGGGGTTATCACGATTTGATAACATATCCTACCAGGGTAGTCTGACAAACAACCAATACTGTATATGTATACGATGTATATATTTTATCCATTGATAAGTTTTGGCGATTTATATTATGGCGCATTCGGTGATGCATTCAGTAATGTATATTTTGAACGTAGTCTTTGCAAATTGATGCCCTGGTATAGCATGAAATAAGAGAAAACTGACGAGTTTTGAAATTCAAAACTACACAAATTTTAGTTTAAAGGACCTTATACACCCTCCATTCTTGGGATCTCCCCATGGGAAAAAAATAATTCATCTGATTTTTCAAAATTAGTATTCTGCTTCAATTATTACATTTGTATGCACACTAGTATCTTGTTGACCTATATTCAGCACTGTTTTGATGTATAGGCCACTTATTAGGGTCATAATTCAATCATGGAGTGTAGAGGCATAGATTCAAAACCAGGAAGTATTTTTGTGTCTGTCAAAATCCATTTACATCCTACGCATCCCTGCATCCTATCCAAATATTTTACTACATAATGAAATATAATATAGTATAATCTTTGGTTTTACAAACTTGTATGATATTTGATATGTGTAAAAGTTGTTTTTGGAGCATTTTTCTATAGATACGACGTCAGATACTGTACATCGCGGCATTTTACTGCATTTTTACATGCGTACTTACTTTTAAAACCGCAATATCTAGACAGCAAAATCATATTTTTCTACAATTTTTCGTCATCAGTTGAACACGTATGTCCATGAAATATTTTGCCTATCAGAATTCCAAATAACTGATTTGGGACTTTTTAAATGAGAATCACGCAAGCCGTACTATGCGACTTTCTATGCTAAAACCGGGTGTCGACTGTAACATTTTGAAGAAAAGTGATTTTAATTTTAAACGAAAAATGAAGATAACTTTTTCATTTCCCAACGGATCTTTCTCAAATTTTCACAATATTTAAATTCACCATTTTGGAAAAGACTAACTGATTCTGTGTGATGACGTCATAATATAACAATGCTAACTTAACGCTTATATTTATGCAAAAAAGTGTCGACAGGCAGAATTTCGTACCAACAAGATATATATTTTGATCAATTAAACATTAAATCGTTTGAAAGGTGAATTATTCTTTTTTGATTCCTAAAAGGCATATCATATTCTATATTTTCATCAAAAAACTATATCATTTCGATTAAAATTCAGTCTGTAAGAAGTATAAATTGGTGGAAATATGAAGTGAAGCCATGTGAAAAATTCACAAAATTACGTTTCATTTTTTGAGTTCAAATATTTCTAATTAAGGGATAAACATTCAAAACTTTCCAATGTTTCAGCATGTTCTTTTAAATATACCCCTTACTACATACAATTAATTTCATTTAATTTGAACGAGTATATATTGAGATAGACATCGTTTTATCACCGCAACCCCAAGTGAAGCCTTTACAAAATAAGACGTTACGCCGTTAGCGTATTATATGTTCTCCTTTATTATTCATTGCTTTAAATAAATAAAATTAAATATTCGAGTTAAAATAAATTACAAATAATGCATTTAACAATCCTTAATATCTTCCCGTCTGTGTTTATCAGTTGAATATGACAAGGGGCATTGTGAAAGAGTCTAGAAAGACGGTGCGACAACGAGAGCGCAGGGCCGAAAAGCGCGACAAAGAAGAAAACGGGTAGGGTTTGAAATGTCTACTTTCTGGTGATTCTAATTCTGTATATCGTGACACAACCTTTTTGAATATAGAATTGTATTGAAGCGCACATTAATCTGAACAAAACTTGAAGTTTTTAAGAAGATTCCACGAATATTAAAACGTTTGCAATTACTTGGAGGAGCATTGCGCATATTTATCGCGTAAATCTTTGCATTTTGTCGGTAAAATGAACAATTACACTGTTACGCCGTGATGAACAGTATCTGACGTCGTATCATAGCCATTTTGTAGGGAAAAAAATGATGAAAAAATGTACAATCTTTTAATTTTTAGTATGACCTGAATCGATTGCAAACTTCATATTTGCACATTTGATGAGATAAACCATTTGTGTCGTATTGTGAAATTATTAAGTTTGCAATAAATTCAGGTCATAGAGTATTTTTGGTATTTCTGTGATAATCAATGGAAACCAATGGCCTCTATTGGGATCTGCTGATATCCTCATGTTAAGTCACTGTTGCACAACCCCATGTAAGTCAATACAACCTTACTGAACGAAATGATCCCTATCTCAGCTTATGTGTGTCCGAGCACTTTAATATTTTCCAAAGTATTATATGACATTTTATTCTTCATGTTACACCTACGAATGATTCATTTTGACCATAGGGATATTTGCCAATAATTGCACCTTGTCCTTTGTTTATTTTGTTGTTAGGGCATGGTCTACATTGCCTAAAAACCTCTGGGGTATATAGATGTAACCTACATACGATCATACAAAGCCAACTGAGCATTGGAAACAACCTAATATGCTCTACTCAAGCCATAATAATGTATTTTGAATTTGCGATAATGTAAAAAATTGATGGACGGTTACGCGAACCTGATTCAACTATGAAACCCCGATTCATTGTTATTAATTTTGCCATCTTCATCAGTTCTTGATCCTAAATCTTCTTTTGCCACTTCATTGCTATCTTTTACACTTTCATTGGTTTCATAAATAAAGCAAGCGACATTTTTTCCTTGCCATATAGAGGCTGAAACAAGGGCGTCTCTTGCGAGTCCTGAAAACATATATAGGAAATTCAATATTCCATTTCTTACCCATTATAACAATAACATGGAAAGAGGCTATCAGATCTAGCAACCTTGACTTGCAATTGATGTACATGCACGTAACCGTCCGCTAAATATCTACGCTACCGTCCATAGAATTCGATAGAAGTCATACGTCGTAGTCGTCTAACGACATTGCGTTTGAAATCTTATTATTTACGATATACACCACGTTCCTGTTCTGGATTTGTCATTTTATGCCTTGTTTATACACAGTTTACTTACAGTTGATTAATATTTTGAGTGGCTCTGAGGCACATGTACTGAGAAAACACGAGAATGGACCAAATATTATGAACTTGGATATCTCAGTCGGTAGGTTTACAGCTTATATTCTGTTTCTTTTAGCCCACCTGGCAGATTTGACCCAGTCTTTATAACTATCTATATTTACGTCACCGAATCGAACTAGTTTAAAAGAAAATCTTATTTGTGAATATTGCCTACAGGCGAGAAAGCGGACATGCTGCCTACCCCATCCGCCATTTTTTGTTATCGTTACCGTAAAACTTTGCAAATCCTCTTGACGTAACCGTCATGCCATAACACCGTGGATATGGTCTCCGTTTTTTTACGTCAGGCGGTGGTCGGTGGTTGGTGTTCGACGTCTGTTACAAATTCTAAAAACTTTCAATAACTTAACAAACACTAACTGACTTCAATTTTTTCAAAATCATCTACAAGTTCTCAGAAGTTCAAATCTGACTTTAGATTTGAGATTTGACCTTAAATGACCTTCTCAAGGTAAAAAAAGGTAAAATGCATGTAGGTCTCTTTTCAGCTTACTTCAAATTGACCAGTTTTTCAAAATCATCTACAAGTTCTCAGAAGCCCAAATCTGACTTTAAATTTGAGATTTGACTTTCAATGACCTTCTCAAGATAAAAACATGATAACTCATGTTATTAGTGCCCAGTGGCTTTTTAGCGTCCATTTCAAACATTATGTAAGGTTATGTAATACTTTATACAATTATGTAAGACAATGTAAACGAATTTATACTATTGTTAATTTGTGTAATATTATGTAATGTTAGGAAATTGATTATGTAATGTTTTTATGTAAAAATAATAAATCAAAATAGATGGCCACAGGATGGCTCTTGACACACCAAATTATACTTGTCAGTTTATTAATTCCCCGATAGAGCGGGCGGGAAGTATAAAAGTAATTTAAGGAATCTGAAAGTTGACCTTAAATGGATTTATACCGACTGGCCGGATATCCAATCATGTACTGGCTTTCACTTTCAGTTATACACGTGTGTCTCGAGTTACATCTTGGGTCTATCTACTACTTCCTAGCTAGACAGCATCCTTCATTCAGTTTCATGTTTCGAAACAGACAACATAAATAAGCATTGATTTGTTAAAAAATTATTGTTTCAACTTTACAAGCTATTCAGCATTGTTATATTAAGAAAATATTATATAACATAAGATAGAACACTATTTATAACCCTCCTCCTTTCCCCGATTCTACCTCCAATAACACAAATGTATTATTGTTGAAATTCACGTTGTTTTAGTTTACAGACTGTAATTAACTATGTCACGTTTTTCGCAAACCTATTTGAGAAAGAGACTTTCACATAGCTGTCACCATGTGTTAGAAAGCTTGTACAGTCCTAACTAACCTTTTTTATATTTTTTATTTTACATTAGGTTACGGCTTTTTAGCGTCCATTTCAAACATTGTGTAAGGTTATGTAATACTTTATACAATTATGTAAGACAATGTAAACGAATTTATACTATTGTTAATTTGTGTAATATTATGTAATGTTAGGAAATTGATTATGTAATGTTTTTATGTAAAAATAATAAAATCAAAATAGATGGCCACAGGATGGCTCTTGACACACCAAATTATACTTGTCAGTTTATTAATTCCCCGATAGAGCGGGCGGGAAGTATAAAGTATTTTTCAACTTGCTTAAAATAGACCAATTTTTTCAAAATCATCTTCAAGTTCCCAGAAGTTCAAATCTCTTTTAGGTTGAACTAATAATATTGTAAGCAACTAGGTGGTGACATTTTGTCATGTTGCCTTAGCAGTAGGTCCATCCTACTTTGTTCTGAAACTGAAAAATGTCACCATAGTGACATTTTGGTTGGACTATTTTAACACATAACAGATGGTACATTAACAACTGATAAAAATACACCATATTCTAATGCATAACAATACTTTTTAGTCTTAATTTGTGCTATAAACTTAATGTATGGTTCGGTAAAGCTTTTGAAAACAGTGACATTAAAGGTGAAAGTCAGAAGAAGTGAATAGCTCCCATAATTATGTCGTATTCTTTCGTATTCATGAACATAATAAAAAAATGATTAGTATCTCATGAATATCAAAGAGTACGAGGAATGGGGTATGACGTAGTTGTTGAAGATGGGACTCCAAAAGCATCCAATTGAAATAAAATATGAAATAATTCGCAGATAAAGTAACACCCGGCACCAAACATACCGTTTCAACCAAGAGATTAGAAGCGTAATATAGCAAGTGTTCCCTATATTTATCAACTCGACACGTTATATCATACTACACAAAGATATAATACCGCTAACACTACTACATGTAATTAAACTGTTAAAATTGGATTATAATAAATCATAAACAATAAACAATAAGTTTATTGCTGATAAAAGGTTTATATTTTAACCATAGTATGTCTTTATCCCGTGCCAGGACTATAGACTATAGTCCTGGTACGGGATAAGTATGTCTCTACATAACATAAGGCGATATCATTTTCAGTCAAGGATGATACATTTATGAGGTACGTGTACAAGGTTCTATGACGTCACCACTACCATCACCACATGGTGGACAAACATTAGCCGGCCAATTACAGATCTGTTGTGCCTCATCAAACACTAGACCTGAAAATAAAGTTTTTCCTGTTGATCATCATCAGGCACAAGACATGGAAATATAGTTCAGTTTTAAACGAGAGTATCATAAAAGTCAAGTTGTGGAGACTATTTGCCAACGGACATAAAATAAATCTCTTCCACTGGCATGAACTGTAGGTCTGTGTCTGATTTTAAGACTGCGATATTACTATCTGTTTTCATTACGTAAGAAATAAATTAAGAGGTACATGGACTATAGTATACCTTGCAGTTTGTATAAGTGTTTGTTTTATATGATCTTGAAGAGAATTTTACACTGGTTTGCAATTGTATTTCTGACTTTCACATGTCGGATGACTAAACAATGATAATTAAGACGCATATTCGAATTTACAACAGTTTGTTTCAAATGCGTGAGATAGTACAATCGCACATACCATCATTGCAAATATTGTTGCTCATGAATTGCTCTCCCTCGCAGTAGTGATACGATAAACAGTTGTCATCAGTGTTGGCATAGTAACCATCTGCTTTCCCGGTACAGTTTCGAAGAACGCCACAAGGTGGCGGCACATTCTCGACCCTAAGGATGAAATTGATGAATAATCATTGAACAATTTTGACCAAATAGGTTTAAGTGCATCTAATTATGAATAATTTTAATCCACACTCATGAAAGAATCCCAATATGCTTGTACCTTCAGTATGAAGACTCGTTATAAAAATTGATTTTTAACATTTTATTTTAACAGTTGTTTAAATTACAAATACACGTAAAGTACAAGATAACATTTATTGTTTCGTGGGAAATGTTTTAATGATCAATATGATTTCGTTATTTTTCTATTCCACATCATGCCTTCAATATGTTCAATACTAAAGTGCTGAGAATGTACATACGTATCACATGTACCATTGTCTACATTGACAACTTCTCCGACGGGACAGTCGATTCGAATTTCATTGTTATTTTGGCAGTATATGAAATACGTGCATGCCCATTCGCAGATCGTTTCGTCAGGGCCACTGTTTATACAATCGCATTGTGATACCACAGCTACAAAGACAATAGAATCAGAAGTATTTTGGGTTGTAAAGCATTAAATCCATGGATTGGGATTTATTAAGAGCTAACATGTGTTGTTGGAAAACGTCATTATAAATATTATGAAGCATTATTTTAACGATATTTGAATATTGAATACTGATTTTTGACCTTATTTTAAAAACGGTTTCATATTTGAATATTTTCAAAGATTCTTATACTAGTTATACAAATTTTCTCCACCCGAAAATGCAAAAACGAACATAAGTACGTACTTACCATTAATAGCCGTAAAACCAATCAGAATTGTGAATAAACTTCTGAAAGTTGTCATGTTAAGTCAAACAAAAGGTGTGTTTTTGTTAGTGTCAATGTACTTCAAATTATGGATCTCATTACGCATACTTTTTATCATGTAATCTATATAACATTTAACCTTTTTACAATTTCCTGTGGTAGCTAGAGCGATAATTGATTACATATCAATTATATGATTCAGGCAGCCAAAATCTTGAACTTAAATAATTTGTAAGAGTATACTTCTGACAAATTCTGGGGACAAAGGCTCATGCAGAACAAACGCCCTGCTGTGCATAATCGGGGCGCAGGTTATACAGCGTTCATGTATGACTATAGGTGCTAGTATTGGCGCTCCATGAATCCGTGAATCAGGCCTCCAAGACTTCCAGCAACGCGAACATCAGTTCTGACCTCGCGAACTACATTCCTTGCAGTCGAACCACGATTCTCACATCGCGAACGTTAAATATTAAGTCGCGCACCACCATTTCCTCGCTCCCGAACATATTTCTCCACTTGCGCACAGAGATCCGTACTCGCAAACGACAAACCCGATCGAAAAAAGTCCTTTTATTCGTTGCTGGAAGTCTAGGAGGCCTGGGTAATGGGATATACAGGGCGCGCCGTACATATGTATTGAAACATTCATATTCTGTCAGAGTAGTTTACCACAAATGGCATTTAAAGTGATTTCATGGTTTCAGACGTTGACTGCTCCTGGACACTGACGGCTACTGGACCGATCAGTCACAGCTATGCTCTATTTTTTCTTAGATTAAAGGAAGACGTACTTATTTGAATATTTATAATTAAACTAACAAATAGTTTGATCGGTATTCAGATTATCCAGGATTTGACTTAAAGCCTTTTTAAAGTATGTTAAACATGTGATAATAGAAAATGATCATTCCGCGTGACGGTCTTGCGTCTTTTTCAATATTTACGTCACGGATCATTAGGGCAGCGTCCAACGAATTTCCTGAAGAAGCACGATTAAAATTGTTATAGCATGTGCTGGTTCATTATGTCAGGGAATAACGACTTCGAGTTAAAAAAATAAATCGTGTGAAAATCATAAAAAATTACAATTATGAAATCAAAGACTGCGTCCCTCTTTCTTCAACTTCATGATCCGTCATCACCGTTAATTGCAACACGTACATTTTGAGACGTTTGATGATATTGTAAAGTTACGTCTCAGGTCCGTTCTTTGGCAATACTAAATTGCATAATCTTGATTGTATTTTAGACAATAGAAGGAAGCGGTTATTAATTGTGTTGCTGAAATTCTAGACATTCATCAAAATGTAAAAATCATTGGAGTTCTTAGACAAAACATGCCAAATAACCCTACTATTGTTTTAGAATACAATTGTAATCATGAATGCAATGATTAATATGAAAATATGTTTGAATTGATCTGAAAGCGATTGTATGTGCATTAACAACAACATGGAAAACTAACATCAAAAGAGATAAAAAATGATTTCAAAAAACAGACAATGTTGGACCTATTTGGACAGTTAAGTGGAAATTACTTATCCTGATTTAAATTGGAAAAGAAATTGGCAATTAATTCAAACAATCAAAGAGCCACGACTTAAAAGTATTCATTTTAAGATTTTAAATAGAATCCATCCAACTAATACCCATCTTTAAAATGAAAAAAATACATATCAGGACACTCAACTCCAACATCAACAGAGACAAAGGAAACCATGAACCCAGCCCACTTTTGGATAAGGTGTTACAATACAAACCAGCTAACATCCTTAATCCCCAGTCGTCACGCGCCCTTGGAGCGGTGGCGCGGCGAACTAACAACCAGTAGCCAAACAGTGCCTGATGAAGATGGACGTAGCCCATCGAAACGTTGCAAGTAAGTTTCGAAATCGGATAAGTCAAGCAGATCTTATATTAATAAATTCATATCCTATTTGTGTATGAAAGTAAAACAAAACAAAAAATACCCCGATTTCATATGTTTATTTGAGCAAGAATGTTATATTAGAAATGTACGAACTGTAAAATTTCAGACACATTATTCATATCATCCAGGAGCCCGTTCTCGAAAACATCGTCAATTACGATTCGCGGACATTTGATTTCTACGATATCGGATGCCAGTAGAGATTTACCACTTTCACTACCAGGTGGTTAAGGATCCGTTACCCAATATACCGAAATATATCTCCAGATGTTTCATTGAAAATAGCATAGACATACTTACTGTATCAATTATGATCATATCAAAAATAAAATTAGGTCATTGGGATTGTAACTAAGGTCATTCAGTGTTTGACTATGGAAATTAGTCTAAATATCAATTTAAAGGTACACTCCCCTCCATAAGTTTGGCAACCTTTGCTCTCCCATTGCATTATGTGTTTAAGCCTCTTTACGTTTCAATTTGTATTTATTTACCCTGCGATGAAATTACTTATAATATTAATGAAAACGTAATTTGACTTTATTTCCAATACCTCCAAATTTTCCCATGTTTTTCCTCAAGTACAATAGGTCGAAAATTGATGATTTTGATGAACTTTTGAAAATCGTCATTCCCATATAAACTAATGGGAAATGGTGGGTTTGGGGCAAATCAGAAATCAGGATATCTATTCAGCAAAAATATTTCTATATAGGAAATTGAATCCTCTGTTATTTCAATGGGAGAGGTTTTTGAAAAACAAGTTTGACTTTAAAGACCTATATCTTTGTAGAACCTGAAGAAACGTATAAATTTTTTGTTAAATAAGGTAAGCAAATTCAATTTCCTACCTAACGCGTATTTTTACAAGGACTCGGATGGATGGATATTCTGTCAAATGACTTGCGGCAAACCAACCATTTCCCATTGGGAATGTCAATTTTCAAAAATTCATCAAAATCATCAATTTTCGACCTATTGTAATTGAGGAAAAAATTGAGAACATTTGGAGGTGTTTGAAATAAAGTCAAGTTACGCTTCCTTCAATATTTGAGAGGTTAAGCTTTGCATATATAATCGAAACTGAACCTGTACGTATCACTCGACCAAATACAAATTCATGTAGCCTTCTCATATAAATAGCCGTTCAAATCCAGTGTTTGTTTAGACTACACCATAGCGTGTAATGATTCTATAGTATGTCATTGATGCAGTTTTATAGCTGGTTTTCTAATACATATTTTAAACGAGCTCGTTTCGTAAGATTTTTGGCGCTAAATCATGCATGGCATACATCATCGTGTTCATAAAGAATTCAACTGTGCATCGAAATCAAAATTGACAGCATAGTGTTCAATAGACACGAGTAAAATTGTTCCCGTTGACCCAACGTCAAATTTCAAAATCTCCCGTTCTAAACCCGAAACTCTGAAGCTGAAAGAGTATCTGAAGTAGACTAAGCGCGCATAAAACTATGAGCGCTCGATACATTCCTTTGTTAATTTTTGTACTTTGCGTTCACGGTTACGTTGTGAAAAACATCGTTAGCTTAACCTCTCCATTAACGTATTAACGTAAAGAGGCTTTAACACGTAGTTCAATGGGGGAGCTAAGGTTGCCAAACTTATGGAGGGGAGTGCATGTTACTCTTCCCTCGTGACCACTTTTATTATGCTGACCATTCATTTATCGATATATTTAAACATCACTAAGGTGCGATACAAAGGGCATCATACTGAAAACAGAAATTATAAAATAACCCCTAAAAACTCAATATATCATACAATAAAATGAACCTTGTTGAAGGTGTTCTGAACAATAGTACTATACATATAGTAGTATATACAGGGTGGTCCAATAAAAATGGGACACTCGTATTTCGAAAATAGATATTGATTTTTTTGATGAAAACATGACATATTATATACGAGTGGATACTGGATAGGGAATTTGATTATCTTTAATTTGGTATACCATGAGTTCAAATTTATTGTAATGTCGGTCAATCAGCGTCCATAATATAAATGACGTCATTTTCATTTCAAAACAGGTTTTCCGAAACTTGCAAAAAACAAGTTTTGTCAACTTTATTTACATAAACAGACGCTCAATATGTCCACCATTTTGATCAATTATACCCCTCGATTTTGGCCTAAACTGGTCAAATGCATCATTGACATGCTGTTGAGACAGTGAATTCGACTTTTCAATAATTCTGTCCTTAAGGAACTGAGTAGATGTAAGGGGTTCATGGTAAACCAATTCTGTTTGTTCCCCAGACATTGACATCGGATGATCCAATTATGTTGTTTTTGGACCATCCTAATGAGCTCATTTCTGAATCATTACATTTTCCAACAAGATGGGGTTCCAAGCAATAGATCTCACAAGAGTGGCAAATGTTTCAAGAAAAATATGCCTAGATTCATCCCCCTTAATCACTGCTTCGCCCAGATCCCCCGATTACCCAACGACTGCGACTACCACGTATGGGGATGACTGACAGAATTGGTATACCATAAATCCTTACGATCTATTCAGTCCCTGAGGACAGAATTATTGAGAAGTGAAATTCGTTGTCTCAACAGCATATCAATAATTGAGGGCTACAATTGATCAAAATGGGCCTAAATTGGTCAATAGCATTATTGATATGCTGTTGATACAATGAATTTCACTTCTCAATAATTCTGTCCTCATAAACATCTGTTTATGTAAATAAAGTTGACAATAAAACTTGGTTTTTGCTACTTTTGGAAAACCCGTTTTGAAACGAAAATGACGTCATTTATATTATGGACGCTGGTTGACAGACATTAAAATAAATTTAAACTTATGATATACCAAATTAAAGATGAGTAAATTCCCTATCTACTGGTATATAATATGACAAGTTTTCATCAAGAAAATCAATATCTATTTTCGAAATACAAGTGTCCCATTTTTTTGGACCACCCTTTAGTACGTATATTGTAGCTTTGGCCAAGGTATTTAATCAAGAGAATATGTCAAAACATCATTAAAGCTAAGGTAGAACACAAAGAGTAACATGTTGAAAACACAAAACCGCGGTTTTCAAGCTAAATGGTGTTTAAATCTAATTGCGAGTTGGTCTTTGGGGAATCTACCCGATCTCATGCCTGGTAATCGGACAAATTGAACAGGGAGTCAGCCGATTCCTGCTAGAATTCAACTTGCAAAATTTATTTTTTTTCATGAGAAAGTTTATTTAGAAATCGTAACTCACTTCACAAAACTTTTAACTGAATATTTCAATGAATGAACCCGTAGGGTTCTGGGTACATGCGCTCTTTGATAGGGAGAAACACTGCGTGAAAAATGGAATTTCTAGACTAAGCACGTCTAGAAACTAAGTCTAAGCACGCCGGGTGCTTAGGCGTGACTAGTTTTGACACGTCTAGGTACGCGATGAAACCAACTCTAGACATCTCTAGGCACGTCTAAGCACACGCAGTGCAAAGACGTGCTTAGAGTGTGACAAAAAGTCTTGGCACGCCCTGAGACTAATGATTGAAATCTAGAATAAAGTAATTATCGAATCAGATGAATGTATTGTTATAAGCAATTATGATCAACATTCATAATTTAGACATATTTTCACTGAAATATACTGATTTCTTTTTATCTTTTATCTATTTTATTTATTATTTTGTATAACAAACTGTTCACGTATACCATGACGTTTTACATATATGATTGAATAATAAATCACGTACTGTTTAAAGGTTGTAAAATACCAAACAAGCTGTACTGATAACTAGTAAAAATGGTTTTCCCGGGCATCTATCAAGTTGTTACATCAAGCCCCGGGTATCAAGCAAGATACAAGAATAGTATTATTATTGTGCGTCTGACCAAATGGATGAAAAAACTATGTGTTCATATTGTGTATGCAATGTATCATTACTAATTGATATAGGGCAGTGGCGAAGCCAGCTTTCATTCAGGATGGGGGGGGGTGCAATCGCCAAAAACTTTTCGGTTTTCAATCACGGGGTTGCGATTGTTGCATAAACAAACCATGAAAATAAGATTTATTTTGAATTTTACAAAAATTTCTTCAAAATTGAGCTTTTTGTTTCTCGTGATTTATTTCTATTGCACCCCCCCCCCTCCCCCTCGCTTCGCCTATGGACGCAATTAGCATATTCATTTAAGTTGCCTCTCCCCGTAGATACGCGGAGTTTCTAGACCATCCTACGTCTAGAAATTGCAAGAAATTCCACATTTGATGCAGTGATCATACTTGCGAATCATATTGAAATTAATCTTATTAAGCAAACAAGAATTAAAATACAGTGTACGTTACGCTAAAAACAAAAACTCCTTTGCACAATTACAGAACGATGATTCAAAATAGTTTTTTGAAACCCTTTTTAGAGTACTTCTCTCCTATAGTGCAGGAAATAATTGTTTGGACGGTGGTCAATATTACATACACCCCCCCCCCTCCATAAAATTAGTAACAGGATCCCCTTTTCGGCCACCTATCTAATCAAAGCCTGATTATGATTGGCGATTTAGATAAATTCGTCAAATGTCACAAATAACTGAACTACTAGATCTAGCATTGCAATTGAGGAAAGAATTAGATTTAAATATTGATATGCTTCGAAATGAAAACACACGATTGCCAATCTAATGGAAGGGGTACGTAATGAAGACGCGATATTGTGTTTACCGCCGTCCATCGTCCATCGCTCGAAAAGAAAATCGCATTGTCCTGACCAATCCATCTCACAAAAATCGCATTCACCTCAAAACAAAATTTGAATTCGTCTCCCATTTGAAAATTAAGAGATTTTGAAACGAAAAGAGTATGAAGCTCTGTTTGAGCCTATTAAACACAGGCGAATGGTAATTTCATCATCATGCTCTGACACAGTAAAGTCATAGACATCTGAGCAACAAGCGATTTTGTTTGGTCGCTGGTATATTGTTTTGTTGATTTTTTTTTATGCTGGTTTGTTTATATTATTCAATAAAATTTTATATTTCAAAATGTCATTAGTTAAGTCATTTGGATATTTTGTAGACTTGTGATATAAGACTTCTGGTTTTGTTTCATCATACAAAGTTTAGATATGGACTTCGAACTTCAGATTTCATTGAAGAGAGTTAGGAATATCATGATCGGAATTGAATATGGCCTGTGGTTTTATACCCTGTGACAACATGATATTAACCTCTGGCCCTCTGAGCCCTCGAGAAATGTATCGTGTCCCTTTGGAAGGGTTGGTGCACGTCACCCCCCCCCCCCCGGCCAAAAAGTCTAGATCTTTCAAAAGCGTGCAGCTTTTCACCATTGTGAGCACTTTTCAAATACACCATTGACCATTCCATCGGGATACCACCATGTATTTCACCAGTCCATGTTATGTCGATGCACCATTGAAGACTCCTCATTTTCCCAGAAGAACTCAAGTTGATCGAATCCGAAAAGGTACAATCATGCCAGCTTTCAGTCGGGGGGGGGGGGGTGATGCCCAAACGAATTTCGGTTATCAGTCAGGGGGGTACCATTGTGGCTAAAACACCAGGCCAATAAATTTATTTTGAATTTTACAAATATTGATGCAACTTCTTTCAAAATTGAGCTAGAGGCTCAAAATAAAAAGCATTTTACCCTTTTCTTCTTCTATCTCATGGTTCTATTTTTATTGGTTATCGCACCCATCGTACCCCCCCCCACACTTTGTAACGCCTATTGTTTTTTGAACAGGACATTAACACGCGGGAAGTCTCGGGAAGATATATTGTATTAATATCCCTCAGAATATTCCCTATATCCAAAACATTCCAGTGCATAACCCCTATGTATTAACTTTATCATTTGAGAGGAGTTAAGCTACACGTTTTAGAGACAAAGTGCACGTGAACTTGTAATATTATGACCCCTCCACATTGGTTTCTCCAGGGCCCCTTATAATTCAATATCCCTTAAACCCCGGGCCTTAAACATTTATCACAGAGTCCTAAATACGACCGTTAGTTTGAATTTCAAACCTACCATGTGTCTAAAAATCAAGGATTATGAGTCTCAAAATGTACCGTTTTTGTTCCATTAAAAGCAAAACAAAAATGCCTCTCTGTCGGTACATTGCTGTCGGGGCCGGTCCAAAGCTGTGTGAAGCGCTTCTCACAGCTGGGGATCCAAACACCGCTAAAAGGAGGGACTCTCAGTCTGTATAAGTAACAGTATAATGTGAAAAAATTTGTTTTAAGGATGTTCCCTGGTCAGATAGGAAAATATTCAATAGTATTTAACTTTTTCTCAAAAATGGTTTTCTGGGATTCTCACGGGCAACAAAGAATATTAAAACTTTAAAAACCATATGTTAGTGTGCTTTTTTCTGAGCAAGAGGCCTCTAAAGTGTCAATATTTGACAAAAGTGGGCGTGGCACTTTCTCATTGAAACCCATGTTAAAAATCAGGTTTTCACCCCAAAACACACTTTTGAATATTTAACTTTTTCTTAAACTCACAGAAACACTTAGTTATGCTATGTACTTCACATTTTTAAAAGAAAAATTAGGGGTTGGTGTTCATCGTTTTCAACTTCGTCCAGGGAACATCCTTAATGGAACAAATTTGAAGAAAAACGGTGCAGTATATTGATTCACAATCCTTGATTTCCAAACAGGTGTAGGTATAAAATTCAAATTAACGGTCGGAGTTGGTACCTCGTGTTTATACTTACTAGCATGGGCAAGGGTATGCAACTCTGTGTATTACCATGAGACCTTCAAAATGAGCAGTGCCACGCTTCCCTTTTATGCTATTATTTCAAAAAGTATCTATGTTTTAGTATTATTTTGAATGAAAATCAATTTTCAATATGATTTAAGCATGAAATATATTCAATATCATGTAAAAGTAAACAAAAAAGACCAATAAGAATAAGAGGTATCAAGATGTTCTCTTTGAATATTGCATTGTGGGTTATTATTCATGAACACATTCCAATAAAAACATAATTTGTGGGTGAATGTTCACTTTCTGTATTGTCATAATTATGATGAATTCCATTTTTTTTATTAATTTGTCAACATGTGTGGAGATAATCATGTTTTTATTTTTGACTTATTTCTTTAAATCATCAATTAAAAGTACAGAATAAGATTTTCTTGGATTGTGTACATTCTCCAATTTTGAAAACCAAGGCAATGCTCATGTATGAAATATGGGAAGTTGCCTACCCTTCTAGTTGAAAGCCCATGTTACTAGTAATCGGACAAATAATACTACGACAGGCAGAACTTATTCCAAGAGGACCAAAATTCTGCACGTTCACGAACAAGCTCCTTCATAACCCCCCTATCATGAAAAATGGCATCTATTGCAGTTTTCTAAACCTTCATTCTAAAGGACGTAATCCAAGTTCCCCCCTCCCCCTATTCGCTCATGTTTATAATGTCCAGTGAAGATCATGAATTGATGCACATGTATACATGTGTCTGATATGTATGATTACAATTGTAGAGTTAGAAATTGAAGTGTTTCCCTTTGTCACTTTTATGCATCTTATGTAAACCTGTTTGAACTAATAAAATACTAAAAATATGATAACTTCATTCGAAATGCGGACTGTGGTTGTGATTTGGGAGGGGGTATACTGATACTCTACTAAGGTGTTAGACCCAGCAATCTTCACAAATGGTGGCTACAACTTAAGTTCCAATTTATGAATCTCTCATTAAAATAAACAACTATTACTAAAGGTTCTTTCTGATTGCATTTTACCAATGAAATTATAATCTCTGACTAAACTCGATTTTAGATTTTAAGATATGAATTTTAGATCTCACTGTTATTTAACATTAAATGTCTAGTGTGGGATTGAGCGATAAATCTCCCGTCAAGAAAATGGAATGGCATCTCTTAGTCGGGCTCTTACTATGCTATTTGGACATTCAATCTCACTTCTGACATTGCGTGTGAGGTACAATTTGATCAAAGAAATTCCAAAATCAGAATCTAGCAAATCGCAATCTTTGCCACAATCATTTATTCAGACATTGCACATACATCTATCGTTCCCAGGAAATTGTACATGTTATTAAAACTTCAATTCCAGTAATTCCGGAGACAAATGTATTATTTTGTTCTCTAGCGTCATTAGATGATAGCAAAAAGTAATTGATTGATTGAACAATTTATTTCCTTATTTTGTAAGTGTACCAATGTATAAGATGACATGATTTATCATAATTACAGGGTCTTAATAGTCTATGGCTACCCTTTGCATTCGTTCGACTTCTAATGCTGCTAATCACCCATCCCCTCTTCACAAAACGACGACATTTTAACTGCTTTCCAAATTCAGGCCCGTAGCCAAGGGGAGCGGAGGGAGCGGCCGCTCCCCCTCCTGGCCAAATGATGTTTTGCCAAAACAGTCAAAAAAGCCCCCCCCCCCACTCCCTTGGCACCCCCCCCCCCATGGTAAAACCGCTCCCCCGGTAAATCCTGGCTACGGGCCTGAAGATATTATATATTGATCTATAATTTATAAACATGATTTTCTATGTTCTAGGTTTCATGGGTCGTCATTCCCCCAGAGGCCTCCTTGAAACATACCGATTGCGATGTTTACCCATTTCAAACATGTCTTAGGCCCAGGTCTTGTTGCACCATTTTCGTTGCCACATTCTTACAGGAAATGTATAGATAGCGGAGATATATATAGTACTTTTTATTTTTATTATAAAGAAGATGTTATCTGGATTGAGCATAAACTTAAACTTGAAAAACATCCGAACTCACCAACGACTTAATTATAGTGAATGTATGGGGGGGGGGGGGGGTAATGATTCCATCTTTATTTTCTAGATTGGACTCTAAAAGTAGACCTCTAATACGCCTTACTTTCTGGTCTAGACCAATAGTATGCCTCTTTTTAAAGGTTTTGTTATGGCGTAGACCTACCCTGCGTGCAGAGTCTAGTTAAACTACGAAGACGAAGCTCTCTTTTAAGAAGTGAAGTCAAACGAATGCAAAGGGTAGCGTAGACCAAATCATCTCCTTAAAGTTTTCTATTATAAGCATATAGACCAAAACTGCGCTTAAAACTCAACATTTATATCTAGTCAAAATGACCATTAAAAACTCTAATGATTACACAAAGTGGCCATAAGTACGCCTCAAAAACTCAAAAAAATTGCAAGCAACATCTGAGAATAACATAAAAGGTAAAAAAATATTGTCCTTTATTTAAGTTTCAATAGATAATGTAGCTTGATCATTTGATTTCACTTGCTGTTGGATAGGATATGAAATAATTCAAAATACTAGTCCATGTCCGTGCGATTAGTGTCAATTCATATAGTTTTGATTACAATCAGAATTCTCAATTTTGAGAATTCACTTTCAAGTCACTTTTCCTTTAATCTATCTGTAATCACTAATTAACTAGATCAATACATACTCGATTTCCTCTGCCCACCAACAACACTGTTATGTAAGGGCGGAAATAAATCACTGTAATCTTGTAATCAGGCATTTGAAAATGACCCCTAAATTTCATCCATGTCCATGGTAAGAGCCAAGGGTAGATGGGGGGGGGGGGCTGGAACTCTTACATATGACTGGCCAAAATTTCAATCACATGCAGTTTTCATCATTTTTTGGACACTTTCAAAGAGCTCTTTGAATCTCAGGGCCGTTAGATGGGGGAGGGGGTGTTCAGATATCACTATATCTAGGATTTTGATCTGACATTATTTATGCCGGGATACCTTCTTGCCTTTTCAAAGTCGGTATTTTTTACTTATCTGCCCGCTTATCTGATCAAGGGCGTTACAATACCCGGGAATGTATCGGTTCGTGCAGTACTTGTTTGTGATAGCGCCCTCTGTAGGTCACTGTGCTTATAGCCTACAGTAATACGGGGTAGGATATCGGGAATTCGGTCAGTTTCTATCCGTCGATTACGCTATGAATTGAAGCAAGTGTTACCACTTTATCCACTTAAACAATTTGATAATTGATTAAATCTTTGAACAAAATCGATAAACACGTTATACACTTCCTATCTCCTTAGAAATTAGCATGTATTTATGGATTGTGTTTTCGAACAAGGCTCGACCCATACCAATAGGGAAATCCTTATGCTAATTAGTATGACGTCATATTTTCCTGGGGAATCCTAGATTTCAAAGACTCAGTCTGTTATTGTGTCAAATGTAAACGCTCTTTTGCAGACAGAAAATTGACAGATTAGCTTTTAACTTTCAGCTTTGATGTTTAAATATTCTGTATTTCTACCGGACTTCTTGCTGAATATCATATAATGTTATAACTTGATTTGGACCATTGCCTGATTGATCATAGTGAAATTTTGATTGTGATTCATGATTGATTGGCAAGAAAAATAATTCCTATTGTTTTCCAGCAAAGTCAAAATGTTACAGCATGAGTTATAATGTCGAGTTTGCATCATGTTAAATTCTGCTAGTGATTAGAAGTCCATGCACAAGCACAAACACAAGTGACAAACACACCCAGGCTCCAGGCCGTGGATGGAAATATAAAACTATTTAAGGCACAAACTGGTATTTAATAGACCGATATGTAGTGTCTGCCATGTATTGAAAGTAAACCAATCTGCATTATTAATGTTACTTCTATCAATACATGGATTGAGCAATGGAAAAGCAATGGCACAATCAAAAATGTGCATATCAATCGTGAATATCTCTCGGTTCAAAGCTTATTTCAACCAGAATCGTGTCAAAATATGTGTCTGAGTAACAGTTATACATTATAAGATCGCAAACTCTTACCAATTATTAGCCGAATGGCTTATTTTCAACGAAATGTCCTTAAGACAACAGCCCTGGGTCGCGCCTGAGACCAAAAACTGTTTCAAATATCCCTCCCCTAATTATATTGGATAATCACATTTATGCGTGCGCGCGCAGCTCATCCACTGAACGAAACGCCACTTCCCGCTGAAATCACCGGGTATTGATCTTTCCCTTGATCTGATCTTGAATAATAGAAATCAAGATAGGATTAAAAGATGCCGATTTGGGCAAGGCTACCCCATCCACCCTATTCCAATCTTTCTGGAAACTACTCCCCATGTGGTGCGATCCCATTCTGATACTTGAATTTTACAAAAATTGATGCATCTTTCAAAATTCTTCAAAAATGAGATTGAAACTTAAAATAAAAAAATTGAAAGCTCTTTTCTTCTATCTAATGGTTATGTTTTATAAGCTTTTTTTTGGGGGGGGTGCCTTCGCACTCATCGCAACTCCCCCCCCCCCTCTGCCGTCCAGAGAGAGAGAGAGTCCAGAGATAGTTTGCAAAGCGTGCTCACGGCTTTCCATGGAAAACATCACCAGTTGCAACTAGCCTCTTTTTTTCTTTTTAATTTTTTTTCTTTTTGAAGTTGCAACTAGTCTCTACAACTGTCACTGACTGAAGATCACAGACACAGACACAGTTACATGTACATTATGTCAAGGTGAATACAAAATATGCCCTTTTTGGAATGTTCAGGATTCACGATGGTCAGAACGAGATTGTATTTTTGATAATACAAATGTATTACCTTTAAGCAGGTTTCAACGGATTTTGATACACATTTTTTGCCGTGTGTCCTATTATGATTACAATCAGCAGTTTCCTAGATAAACATGACAACCGGGAGATAGTCTTCGGGCTGACATCTCGAAGCTGTTGTTTATGACTTCAATACCGTACATCAATATTGATTTCCCCGCAAAGTATTCAAATTCGTCTTTTGATAGGCTTTTTTCAAAAATTTTACACTTCGCTTACGTCATTTTAATTCATTCAAAATAATAGTTCACAAATGAATTCAGCTGTGGGGAATAGCAAAAGTACTGCTTGAGAGGGAGGGGGTATGTATGTACCCGGCAAATATAAGGGCTTTAACATGGGATTTAGGGGTACCCTGTACAAGTAGGGTTTTGAAGGGAGGTTGAAGGGGTATGTTACCTTCAAAAGTAGGATTTTAACGAGGGTCAAGGCCTTAGGGGGTAGGCCCCGGTGTAGACACCCTGTAAAATGGGTATTTAACAGGGGTTGAGGATTGATTGAAGATATCCTGGAAAAGCTTGGCTTTAACATGGGTTAGGATGTTAGTTAAAGTAGGGGCTTAATGTGGACTTAAAAAGCTCCAACGTTCCTCTTAGGGTGGTTAGTCACAATTTTTTCTCTAAAACCCAATTGTATTGTTGTAGCCAGAATGTTTCGGGTCAAGAGACCAACTACGAAAGAAAGTTATCAAAAGGATTAATGCAAATGCCTTTTATATGAACAAAATGTCAACTACATGTACGGGGGAGTTTCCTGCCCCTGCGATCTTATTTGTCCATTTAGAATAAGATAAACCATGTAACCAGGTCCATGTATTCCATTCTGACAGAATTTCAGATTCAATTTCAAATTAAGTTTATTATGTTCGAAATCCCGAATGTCCCCGGGAGAATCTCTTTTCGAAATTATAATGTCAGATAGATACAAAATAATATTATATTAATACACTTAATTTGGGTCCCGTTTTAATTAGACGGATTGACGGAGTCAGAAAATCCGCCAAATTAAAATCCGTCTTTCAGTTTGGAATTTTTGTCAAATGCACTTTAGAAATTAATCTCCTGGGCCCCTTTTCCTGTCAACTGAGCATGTCATCAACATGTCATACATTATCCCAAAAGAAATACAGAAAATATCTTAATAAATACCCGTCCTAATGACATAAACCATGGGCTTTCAAGAGAATCTTTTGATTGCCCATGCATAAACATACACAAAAATTAAACTTCAGTCCTGATTCCGCCAAATTAAATAGCCGCCAATATTTGAAATTAAGCAAATTCGTCAAATTAAGTAGCGTCAAAATAAGTGTATCTAAAGTATATGTAAGGGGGGGGGGTGGCTCAAGGCATAAAGATTACCGAGAGATACAAATCGGAGAAATAGATGAGATGATGAATATGTATTGTATGTTTTCCAGTTGAATTATGTTATTTGTTATTGGGCCTAATATGATTAGGGACCACCAATATGTATCTGACAGTTTTGAAGTTCAAAAAACGGGTAAAATTGGTTAAAGTAAATTGTATATGATAATCAGAGCCGGGATTCAGAGATACACAACTAAAATAACGAGGAATTTAAAATAGCCTATAGACCATATAGACTGCACTCGTGGACTCTCTTGAAAGCCCATGCTATAATCAAGGTAATTTTGGGATATCCCGTCTTTGAAGAAGCAAAAACGCAATCAAACAGTTAATTAGCTATTGTGTGATCTAGATTACAGATCAAAGAAATCAATTTCAAGATCATTATTAGTATGTATTTAGTTCGTTGTATTTTTGAAAAGGGGTACAAGAAAACTATGTATTAATATATCAAGGGCAGGGTGCTACTGAATCTGATAGTTAAAGCAGGGAAAATGCTCTCCCCCATTTTGCAAATATTGTGTGATGCCAATGAACCCTGAAATTGGTTTTTGTTTTCGCGAGCAATCAACAAATATGTTTATGAAAATCTTGCGAGTCCAGACATATGATTCTCATTCTGTCTCAGCTTAGTGTTGATTAGATTTTATCCCCACTCTTCCGACGTCTGTGTCTCCCTCATTTTTACCCTATATTCAGTTTCTTTTTAAACCAAATTTACAAATATCCGTTCATATATATAAATCAGTAGTTGTTTATGACAAGATTATGTTTATAGATTATCAAAAATTAAGGAAGCGTATTCTGTAGTTTCAACTATATGTTAGCCCCCCTCCCCTTCGCCGACAGTAATGTATTGTTTAAAATAATACTGCATCTACCAGCCAATTATTCTTTCACCATTTTGAACAGTTTTCGTGTGATTTTGAACAAATATCAAATGTGACCCCACCCCTGGAATAAGTTAGCCCCCCCCCTCGCCGACAGAGATGTCTAGTTCAAAATAATACTGTATCCCCTGGCCAATAATTCTTTCACCATTTTGAGCAGTTTTCGTGCAATTTTTTAGCAAATATCAAATGTGACCTCACCCCTGGAATAATTCAAAAGTCATCCCCTTAGCAAATGCTGGATTCGCCCCTGGTACTTGTCAATGCGAAATAATGGGCGTTGATTAGTGGAAATACCCATTTAAACAGACCTTCTTAATTTATAACAAGTTAACAATTAAGAAGCCATGTTGCGATGTATTTTTCGTGACTCAAGTCGGATATAAAGTGAAAACATACTCTTTTTGATTTGATATCCCGTATTTAGCTAAAGCAAAACATGAAATATTAACGCGTGCGGTAAATTATAATTTAAATGTTTCCATATATAGCGCAAAATCTCACATGGCAATTTAATAACGACTAATTTTGTCTTGTGTCTAACCACGGCGTGCTTAGAGATTTCTAGACTCTAGTCACGCTCTGTCCACGCCAGCTCTAAGCACGTCTAAGCACGCCTAGAAATCTCTAGATACACGGAGTTCCTAGACCGACTAAGCACGTCTAGAAATTACTAGAAATTCCACATTTGATGCAGTGAAATAAGGAGAACAAAACTAAATAGGTTTATTGTTGGCTTTATAATATAATAATGTAATTTATTATAAATTAATTGTAGCTCCAAAAATTGGTTGCTTCTTTTGCAATATAAATATGTAATAATCAATTAAAATTTCGAAATATCAATCATATGATCCATCTTTAAGTCATATTCAGGAGTTGGTGAAATGATCGTCCTGATCATAGTTGTCGTTGTTTTTGGCCATGCAGATTGCATATCCACATGGTGGACACACATTGCGAGGCCAATCGCAATTCCCGAATGATTCATTAAACACAAGCCCTAAAACGAGTTTTGGTATATTGAAGTTTACTTCAAACAACATGAACATGTAGTTCATGCGTACGTTGTTAATAATACAATAATGTCATTTCGAAGGGCAATGGACTTCGAAGGGCAAAATAGTGAAATATCGGACCGAGGGCCTTCGGGCCTTGGGCCTTCGGTCCAATATACTGCCTTTCGAAATGACGTTATTCGTATTTTAATGACCAGGGCTGAAATAGCAAGGTTACTTAAAAAGTTACAAGATGGCACTATCGTAATATTTTCAAATAGTAACAATGAAACCCGATATGTAAGAGCCATTCTATATAGCTAACCACATTTACCTTCAGGGCATAAGTTGTTGTTTTCAAAGACACCACCTCGGCAGTAGTGATATGATTGGCAGTTGTCGTCGACGTTGGCATAGTAACCATCTGCCTTCCCTGTACAATTCCGTCGAACACCACAAGGTGGCGGTACGTTGTCGACACTATCGTTTAAAATTAGTACGCTTGTCATACAATTAAGTAAAAATCAAATTTTCACAATTTTAACATTTTTTCATAGAAGACATACTCTTCTCATTGTGCTTCGAGTATGAATGATTTAAAAACAAAAATGTAAATATATAAGTATATACGTATAGTATGAATGTACTAAATAGGTGAGCCCTATGTGAGTCAGAGTGTATCCTTCTTTTGACTTCCTTTTTTGAAAGGTATAGAATACTACACCCCTTTCCTCCGGTTAACGACTCTAACCTATCTTAAATTAAAAATATACCCACGTGTCACAGGTACCAGTGTCGATGTTAACAACATCTCCAGGGTTACAGTCTACTCTGACTGGAACTCGATTGTGACAGTAAATGTAGTAAGTACATCCCGATTCACAGATCGTAGGATCATTGCCAACGTTGCTACAATCACATTGTGAGGCCACTCCTGGATTAATATATAAAAAGATTTTAGATGTTAAAGCTCCTATCAGATCTAGCTAGCAATCATTGCAAATATTTCAATTTTAAAATATTTTGGCTCATACCAATCCTGTTAATATTTTGAATACCCGAAGCACATGTACTTTATTAGAAAACTACTAATTCTAACATGAAAACGTACTCATAAGTAGTTCATCGTCGGTCCCCACGTTCTAGCTATGAGTACAGGTCGGAAGCTTGATGAAGCAAGATGTAAGTAGTTACCACATTCATTATTTAGGAGAATTTTAACAGTTTTGCCCCATTTTTGAACTTTGAATATTACATGTAAATAAAATCACCAAATTGATACCATATAGCGAATCTTTTCAGGGAGATATGATATTTGAGATCACGGAAAGCATATATTGACCAGTCGTGTACGTGTTGCTTCCAATTGTATGACCTCTTGAGACCTGATTCTGCCGTTAGATTTAAAACATATTTAATTTCCTTATTAAGTGTCAGGTTAATCACAATTATTCCATTTAAGTTAAAATAATTTGACAGCAAATTAGTTTTACCTTTGAACGTCACGAGAGAGAGCAATATTGCAAATAGACCTGCAAACATTTTCATCTTACTTTGCGATGTGTCTTTCTTGTACATATACAAATCATTTTTATAATGTTATATCAAATTGATATATGGCCTTTTAAATTTTATTTGCGGGTCAAAGCGACCCTTGATTACGTATCATTTAATCACCGTATTTATAGCTAACCAAATACCATACACTCTTTCACCGCCCCTCCATCCCCAATACGATACCTCAAACGAAACATTCCTCAAAATAAATGACATCATTGAAAAGCGCAATCAAAGCGCTGACATACAGTAATGTAAAAAACGTATGAGAATGTGATATTTTAAGAAAAATAGAATAAAATGACCCAGGAGGTGATCCCTTTCATTGCAATGGGTAGTTTCTTTTCAAAACGTATTTTCTCGTGTATCTTTATTTCCACCGTATTCGGAAAGCATAAACTATTTAGGTCAATAAATATATAAATGCATTTATAAACTGCATTTACAGAAGAATACTGACCCATTTGATATAAAAACAGCTGATTTAACAATTACAGTGCAATACCACCACAGTCGATGTGCCATTTTGCTAGAAAGTGAAAAAGCTATAAAAATAAACATTCTTAAATAACTAGTATATACATGTACAGAGAGCAAGGATACAAATTTGTCAGGTCCCCCGTTGTGCCGAGAACAATGTTCAAGGAGACGAATGATCCCGGCAATTTTAAGTTAATTCGTTGATGAAGTTAGTCCCAAAAGCTACTAAGCAAAAATATAAGGTTAGTTTTTAGGAATCTTTTAGTATAAATAATACACGTTATTTTATTAGTAAAAATAGCAATAGCTTCAGTGTAACTTGCTTCTTATACAAGCTCGGTACTCCAGTTAATTCAGTAGTTTAAAAAGGCCAGTTTTAAAGTTGCTAGCAACTCCCATTAAAATATCAGATTACATCCACACTTTAACATAGTACAGAAATTCAGGATTAGTAAGGCTAAGCTTCGGGATTTTCAAGTTTGAAAAATGTTATTACTGTTTTTAAATGTCCTATCACAACCTAACAAAATCTAACTGCAGGATATGAACATCAAACATTGAAAGATACACATAACAGATTGGAAGCAATATATTTTCCCAATCAATATGTTATTAGAGAAAATTGACCAGGTTTTTGAAAATATGAAAAATACAGTTATTTTGGCTGTTCTATTAGTCTGTCTCCTATTTATACCCCATGTCCTTCTTAGGGTTCTAGGAGGTCACCGCTACCATAACCACACGGTGGACAGACAGTTGCCTGCCAGTTGCAAATCTGTCGTGGCTCATCATGTCAACCACTACACCTGAAAGTAACAACAAAATGGTTTCTCTTCTTCGTTTTTTCTCGCCTGCAGTGTAAAAATGATATATAGATGGCGTGAAAATAATATTACATTAACCGAATAAAAGTATTTTATCGTGAAAGTCAACCAAATAACCCTTTCATGGGAAGTGTTATATACATACTGGATATGACATCCAAAAGGAAACACTGTGACATGCAACACTTCGGCAACCTACTTCTGTAGGTTTGTAATTCAAAACAAATATCAATTTTCGAACAAGCTAAGTCAACTTATTTAAAATGCTGAAGTATTTTTTCATGGCCTTTTCATTTAGTTAAAAATTTAAAATTGATAAGAGTTTTCTCAGTTGGCCATCCCACATTCTGATTACTATCCTGCCATAACATCGTGTTTAAATCATTTAATGATAAGTTATGCATTGTCGCTTGCATTTTTTAAACATTCGAAGTTGAGTATTTGGTACCAGATTGAGTACTTACATGTCACATACACTATTGTTGATGGTGGCCACCTGACCAATATCACAATTTACACGGGTCTCAGTATCATCCTGACAATAGATGTAGTACAAGTACAAGCCCATTCACATATACTTGGCTCAGAGCTACTGTTTGAGCAACACATTGTGACATCACGCCTACAGATCGAATTGCTGAACACTACATAGTTACACCCAAAGCTAAGCATGTATTCGCGGATGCAACATTCAGCTGTCGGCTACCGAATTAACCAACTATTTTATGGGCAACTCACTTAAATATGAATACATACCTGTAGTACCTGCCACTGTTTCGTTCATATTAAATATTAAATAGTAGGTTAATCCTGTCGAAAGTTGCATTCGTGAATACAAGCCAACTCTTCATTGAACACTTATATTATCAGATTAGCTTCCCAGGGTGTAATATCTTTAGTTGTAAGGAGTACTATAACAAACATTTAGTTACCATCGACGGCCACAATGCCAATCAGTGTCGTGAAAAGACTTTTACGTGATGTCATTTTTTAGTTAGATTAATGTTTTTTCTACTTCAGTCGGTTTGTATTTTCAATGGCATTTGCAGTTTTACATTTATTTTATAGAGCAATAATTCATGACATCTAACCCATTGGTCTCATTGTTATGGGCGAGCCAACCGGTGAATATATAAATGATAAAGTCGTGGACAATCAGAATGCACTATATTTTCAGATGAGGTCATCCTGACCGAATCGGGCAAAGTAAGTACACAATATACCTGGATGGTCAATAAATATAAAGTTTTGATAAAATCTATCCCATATCCTTATTTGTTACATACTGTGCATACATAAAATGCTACCAAGATACATGTAAGGTTATGTGATGGCACAATATGTAGACCAATGCATTGTTTTATCCGTCTTTAATGGGGTATTGTCTTACAACGGCATACTATATAAAATACCTTCAATGAAAGAATCTCAATCTCTATTCTTTATAGCATTTTCACGCTGGTGATCAGGTTTGTTGAAAAACGCTAACATTTGGACACACCCTGATAGCCTTGATAGCAAGTTGCTACTACATCCCAGCTGGGTTCGATTCCCACTCGGGGGCATAGATTTTTAGCAATTTCTTTATCTGGCTTGTTGGACCTATGCTCGTGGTCGTTAGTTATTTATTGCCCTGGGGCTCCCTCGGGTCATTCCACATTAAAATGCATCCATATGCCTTTATTTATGGATCTGTCATCTGCCTAGTCATAAAATAAAGCCAGAATTGTAGGAATGTTAATAATTTGAGCTACTTTGAGATTTAATAATCTTTAAAATTGAACCCATCAATGACTATATCATGTTCCACGTAGGTGGGTAGGTGGGTATGAGGTAGGAGGTTTTTTATACAAAGCCATTTAAACACGATTCCAGACCTATTGATAACAATGGTGCTTGTTAGTACAGTTTGAGCTGTTCCCCATCACCTCAGTGCATGTGATATACGCATGTCGATCGCCTATCTCTAATGTTGGTAAAAGTACATAGAGGTACACATTTAAAGTGCAATTTAGAATAATAATCATTTTGCATTCGTCATTATTCACTTTGCCTACATTGTTTCTTATGTCATTTATAATGATAATGCAAAGGAAATGGATATATCACATTGTTTCTTATGTCATTTATAATGATAATGCAAAGGAAATGGATATATCACATTGTTTCTTATGTCATTTATAATGATAATGCAAAGGAAATGGATATATCACATTGTTTCTTATGCTATTTATAATGATAATGCAATGGGGAGGGGGTGTATCACATAGTTTCTTGTGCAATTTAAATGATAATGCAAGGGGGGGGGGGTCGTATCACATAGTTTCTCATGTCATTTATAATGATAATGCAAAGGAAAATTGATATATCGCATTGTTTCTTAGGTCATTTATAATGATAATGCAAGGGGAGGGGTTGTTTCACATTGTTTCTTATGCCATTTAAAATGATAATGCAAAGGAAATGGATATATCACATTGTTTCTTATGCCATTTATAACCAGAACAAAGGCAACGCAAAAGCGTAGCGAATCCCATCGAACAGCCATGGCTGGCATATTTACAAACAAAGTATATAGCACAAATGGCAGCCTTTTTTCAAAATGGCCACATTCTACCATTAGACAGTGTCATTAGACAGTGTGCCATGCTTATAGTATTCACATACCAAATATGAACAAAATCTCTCCACCACTTTTTGAGTTATAGTGTAATATGTTAAAATGGTGGCTATTTTTCAAAATGGCTGCCTTCTACCAAAAGTGTCATTAGACAGTGTGCCACGCTTATAGTATTCACATACCAAATATGAACAAAATCGCTCCACTACTTTTCAAGTTATAGTAAAATACATTAAAATGGCGGCCATTTTTCAAAATGGCCACATTCTACCATTAGACAGTGTCATTAGACAGTGTGCCATGCTTATAGTATTTACATACCAAATATGAACAAAATCTCTCCACCACTTTTTGAGTTATAATGTAATATGTTAAAATGGTGGCTATTTTTCAAAATGGCTGCCTTCTACCAAAAGTGTCATTAGACAGTGTGCCATGCTTAAGGTATTTACATACCAAATATAAACAAAATCGCTCCACTACTTTCCGAGTTATAGTAAAAAACCGATAAAATGGCGGCCATTTTTCAAAATGGCCACCTTCTACCAATAGTGCCATTAGACAGTGTGCCATGCTTATAGTATTCACATACCAAATATGAACAAAATCACTCCACAACTTTTCGAGTTATAGTAAAATACGTAAAAATGGCGGCCATTTTTCAAAATGGCGGCCTTCTTCCAAAAGTGTCATTAGACAGTGTGCCATGCTTATAGTATTCACATACCAAATATGAACAAATTCGCTCCACTACTTTTCAAATTATAGTAAAATACGTTAAAATGGCGGCCATTTTGAAAAATAGCGGCCTTATTTTCAATAAGCTCTGAAAACTGATCTCCAAAATTCCAACTTATAATGAAGTCTAACCCTCACAATTCAACAAGAAATAACGCAACGTATCCATAAAATCAACATGTATGTCGCAGTCCCTAGTACAGCAACAGATTTTTAAAATATCAATCATCGTAAAGCCCTCATACTCCATAATATACAGCGTGGGCAAAAAAAAACCAATACCCAAGTTTAAAGATGAATGTTTCATATGATATATGTTAGACCATGACATGAATCATATATCATTTTAAAGATAAATCACTTCCTAACAAAATGACACCATCTTATTGAAAAACATTTGTTTTCTCGTGGAGTTTGGAACTAAAATTGACACCAGGGGTGCCGTGAGCGACCAAAAATCAAATTATGAAAAATCCAAAATTTCCCTCCATATTGCAGCCACAGCTGCACTCAATATGATTGACTAAATCATCAATAATTTATTTAGCAGTAATACACAATTAGGTGCCAAAGTTCAAATTTCACTCCGTTTTCCACAATTCAAAAATCCGCAGTGAATAATGTTTTGGTAGCCCCCTCATGACACCCCTTGTGTCAATTTTAGCCTCTAACACCACAAGAAAACAACGGTTTTTCAATCAGATGGTGTCATATTGTTAGGAAAAGATTTATCTTTAAAATGATGTACAATACATGGCATCGCCTAACGTAATATTATATGATACTCATCCTTGTACCTCAAATTCAAAAGTCTATAAAATTGCAACTTTAAATACAACAAACTGATTGAAATTAAACGTGAATAACCATAATATACGTTTATATACATGTATATATATTTTATTTTGTTTCTCGCAGTGTAAATAGATTACAATCTATAAATCTCAATCACAATCACAAAACGCAATCCATCTATCTTATCTTGCTACATGTAGCTGTCGTCGTTGTAAATGGCAGTGGGGGTGCAGTCAACAGAACCACAAGGAGAGCATGTTTCGTCAGGCCAGTTGCAAATCTGTCGCTCTTCATCAAACACTAATCCTTAAACGAGATATAATAGCGTTATTACATGACGGACAGTGTGATATCATAGCATTATTACATGACGGAGAGTGTGATATCATAGCATTATTACATGACGGAGAATGTGACATCATAGCGTTATTACATGACGGATAGTGTGATATCATAGCATTATTACATGACGGAGAATGTGATATCATAGCATTATTACATGAAGGAGAGTGTCATATCATAGCCTTATTACACGACGGAGAGTGTGACATCATAGCATTATTACATGATGGAGAGTGTGATATCATAGCATCATTACATGACGGAGAGTGTGACATCATAGCATTATTACATGAAGGAGAGTGTGATATCATAGCGTTATTACATGACGGAGAGTGTGATATCATAGCGTTATTACATGACGGAGAGTGTCATATCATAGCCTTATTACACGACGGAGAGTGTGATATCATAGCATTATTACATGACGGAGAGTGATATGATAGCGTTATTACATGACGGAGAGTGTGATATCATAGTATTATTACGTGACGACAGTGTGATATCATAGCATTATTACATGACGGAGAGTGTGATATCATAGCATTATTACACGACGGAGAGTGTGACATCATAGCATTATTACATGATGGAGAGTGTGATATCATAGCATCATTACATGACGGAGAGTGTGATATCATAGCATTATTACATGACGGAGGGTGTGATATCTTAGCATTATTACATGACGAAGAGTGTGATATCATAGCATATTACATGACGGAGAGTGTGATATCATAGCATTATTACATGACGGGGAGTGTGATATCATAGCGTTATTGCATGACGGAGAGTGTGATATTATAGCATTATTACATGACGGAGAGTGTGATACTATAGCATGATGGAGAGTGTGATAGAACGAAATATCACCTCAAAGAAAACATATCACACGAGGAAAAGTCGAGTGTGATATGTTTTGAGTGGCAATATTTGATATATCACACTCTCCGTTATGCAATATTGTATTTATCAAATGAACACCTATTTTCACAACATTTAAGATACCACATTTCGAAATTCTGAGCTTCTTTATTTTATTCAAATAATAAATCACACATTATCACATCATACACCCGGGACTTTGAATGTATTATATTAAATCATCAGATGGTCATGTGACGCGATCTGACCAATCACAGTCAATCATAATAGTTTGACATGTTATAAAATATCGTTATACTTCAAATCTGATACTCGTAGTTTTATTCAAAACATGTAATAAATATTAAGAAAATGGCAGATCAGGCGACAAACGCTAAACATTTTCAAAAGTACATTTCTATTCAAGTTAATTATTGAATGGCCGCAAATACCTGTAGCGCATATGTTGTTGCTCACAAAGATTCCGCTTTGGCAGTAGTGATACGATAAGCAGTCGTCGTTGAGGTTGGCATAGTAACCATCAGCTTTTCCGGTACAGTTGTGTCGAACACCACAAGGTGGTGGTACATTGTCGACACTATGAATAAGAAAAGTGAAAAAGTTAAAGGAACTCACAACAATGGTTCCTATAACAGAACACATGCATATTGAAAAGTCAACTCATTAACTAAGCAAAATCTGGGACATTTGGAGTTATTGGAAATAAAGTCACGTTACATCTCTTATCATATGTCTTATAGACCCCTGCTGCTTAATTTAACCCTAATGTCTGCAACCTTTTTTATAACACTAAGTTGCAAGGGGGGGGGGGGTATTTGGACCACCTCTGTGATTTTTCATTACTTGTCTGATTTCATTATAGTTGGTATTGTTGTATACTCTATCCAAATTACTCTTCAGAAAAGTTGTTTTTAAAAGTGGGCCAACATATGTCAAATCGAGATCAACGTGACCTATTGCGGTGTAAATCTTTTAGTAAATTTTCGATTTTCTTTCACAATAATTTTTGTGCCAGAAAAATGCTACGCTGCTTTAAAAAATATAGTATTTTTCAAATAAAACTAAAATAATGGTAAAAGCTTTTCTAGAACTGATGTTACACACTTTCAAAGTTTCCATTGAAAGTCAGCAATTGAGAGTTCAACTTGTTTTTGTCATTCATATTTCAACAAATGCTAATCAGTGATTTAGCATGCAGATATATGAAAGTATGAATCGGTATTGTTCCAATATTATTCCGGTCCTGATATTGCCTAGCAACAACCTAGCAACGGCGCAAACATCGAAATAATGGAACTGATAAATTTGGGGTAGGGGGTATAAAAAAAATAATTTGGAAGAAGATATCATTATTATTCTGGTACCACAGTGTGCATAAACATTTAGGAATATGCAAAAAATCAAAGGTATTCATTAAGTATTTTTTGAAAAAATCAGTTTTTCTCTCAATTTCGTGAAGAGTTCACGCTTTTCGCGCTACTTGGCAACTGAAATTTCTAATAACAATCCATCAGTTCAGAAATATCCCAGAAGACGTAGCATTCTTTCCCGTGTAGTGTACCTGTTCAATTAGTGATTCAATTGTGATTCAATTGTGAACTTTCTCTTGTAAAAATAAATCTTCCAAATGTGTTGAATTTTCTAGCGAAAATCAGCTACTCCCCCAATCCCTCCCTCTGTCCATTTCTTCCTACATGTATCACCGGCGGGCGTGAGTATTTGTGCAACACATTTCTTTTCATTGTAGTCGACCATTTCACTACATGCTTAACAATGTCGACGTTCACAATTGCAAGACCCTATCGATTTCTTACCATAATCAAGAAAATGCAAAAATGCTAGACACACTGGTCACCCTGGCCTACTTTTAATAAATTTTGCTTAATTCCCTTAAATCCACTTTATTCATCAAGCGTTCCATTGGTACGATTGCCTAAAATAATCCATCGACTGTTTTCAATTGAAGAGTGTGCTGTCCGATTCTTCATCATTTCGATACTTGTCTTTTGAGAAAATGAGCATGACTGCATTTAAGTTAAAAATAAACCTACGTGTCACACTCCCCAGTGTCGATGTTAACGACCTGTCCAACATCACAGTCTTCCCGGATTTCCGTAGAATTTACACAGTATATATAGTAAGTACATGCCCATTCACAGATTGTAGGATCAGTACCAACGTTGCTACAATCACATTGCGAGACCACTCCTAAAATTGAAATGATATTGAGAAAGAAAAATACTCTAGATACACTCTCAATACAATTTAGCGGCAAGGCTCTCAAATGCATGTTTTAAAGCTCGCACATGTGTATAATGATTTTAAGTGATGTTGAATATGTTATGATATGGCTATTGCAATTTCTGTCTTTTTGCAGTGAAGATCTAATAAATGAATTCTAGTTTTACTTAAGTATAATCTGAAAACAAAATAGATTTACCTTCGAATGTTACAACAGATAACAATAATACAAATATTCCGACAAACGTATTCATTTTTCTTCTAATGATGTTAAACTGGTGAATGCTTTTTGTTATTTTGATTCTTAAAGGTGTAAAATGTTTTATATAATGTTATATCTTAGTAATGACACATCACATTTTATTAATTTATGTTTTTGTCCATTTGACCCTTGTTGACGTATCAGTTAAAACAATTTGCAAAATAGCACACCTTCTTACAGACGATTAGCAACCGTGGATTCCCATTGTTGGGGATGTTGAATCACAAAGTTTAGCTTGCCACTGAGGTACTTGGCATATCTAGAAAGCTGGATCTTTTGTATCTTGTCGGGGTCCAGGCGTCGTGGTCAAGGCCATTATTGGAACTGAATACTTTGAAACCACATTTCAACATGTCATTTTACATGTAGATTTTAAATATGATTTCACTCTGACTGAAATCTGAATATTTAATGATTATCAAGATTATTTCTACTCACATCTAAAAGGTGGGCCACAACAGACGGGACACTTTTTGAAACTTAAAGATGGGGTGAATTTAAAGTCCAGTTGTCTGGTGTTATCGTCATCGGATAAAGTCCCTATGCATTGTGACAGTTTCATGAGCACGATAGGCTGGCGCTTAGTCCAGTGTGTTGAAAGATTCCAGTGGACATCGGAATATTTTAGAAATTTGTGACTGGATCAACTCTGTAATTATGTATTGATTTTAAGGTTAATGTCCGTTTTATTTTCTCGGGTCATACCTGCCCATACCACGATGGACTTACTTGCTGAACTTGCTCCGTGGGTCGAACTATGTAAGTTGCAATATCGTTAATTTGAATTTTAGACCTACACGTACCTGATGTTTGAAAATATTGTATCAACAAAAAGGCATTTTTGTATTGATTAGAAAGGAACAATTGCAAGTATGAGACTCATAATCCTTGATTTTCAAACATCTAGTAGGTGTATAATACAAATTAACGGTTTATCAACGTGCAGAGTTGGATCCGCGTGTTAGCAGACAGCTGTGATTTCCTCTTCCCATATATCCGAATGTTCTCTACTGCTTATTGAGATATCCACTAAGGGGAAAGACTGTCTCGTCAGTAAATAAAATATCTTGAATATCAGAAGCCTTAAGCCTTATTCAAACTTGCTCATTTTCTACAGAGTGATCGCAAATTGATTGTAATTCAAATTTAAACTGGTTTGAACATTTATAAATGCTGAATAACAAGTCGGGAGCATACCAAAACGTGGTCCACCCTGTATGTAGTAGTTTATTTTGTTGCATAAGATTTTAAAAATCGTTAATACTTTTGCATAGAATATTAAGGTCATAAGAAGTTGAATCTTTGTTTTGCGTCCAAATCTTGCAAGGGTACTAGGAAAACAAACACAAACTTATTTGCTTGGAAATGTATACACTTAATGGGTCTAATAATGGATGGCTATACCGATATGCAGTGATTACAAACCTATAACTAGCTTTGCATCGTATACTATATTTAAGGAATAAAGACGAGATTTATGGCGCAAAATAAGACCGGAAATTTGATTATGTTCATTGATAAAAAGCGAAATCGCGTAGCGATTGAGGGAGGTCTTTGGCAGAATAAAATCTGAGGTCATATATTTGCCATAAATCATAAAGTCTTTGTTACGATTCTAATATGATAAACAGACAAGAAGCACAACTTTTTGCATTTATGAATTTTAGCTGTCATACATACTCCAATATAAAAATATAATATGAATTAAGGAATAAAGACCACGAATTTATGATTTATGGCGTAATATGACCGAAAATTTTATTCTGTTCATTGTTAAAAGACCTAAATCGTGTAGAGATTGAGGTCTTTGGCAATGGCCAGAATAACATTTGAGGTCATATATTTGACATAAATGATAAAATCGAGGTCTTTGTTACGATTCTAATATGATAAACAGACAAGAAACACAACTATTTCCATTTATGAATTCAAGCGGTCATACATACGCCAATATAGACCAGTAAATCAATTGTTCTAGCAATTGTAACGCTACGTATCATATTAGAATAATAAAAATAGATCTATTGTTGTAAATATTGTGACGTCACGTGTCATATCAGAATTAGGGTTTGGGTAAAAAGGCATTGGGTTTGGGGCGTGGGGTCTATAGGGTGTTCAAAAATGGTTTGGGTAAAAAGGCGTGGGTGTTATATTTAGCAGTATAGCGCGCCTTAAGGCTACCATTATATTTGGCCAATTCACAAATACATGTAGCTCTAGGCAAGGTGTGTCCAATTCCAGCCAATCAGAACACGCTATTTAGGGCTAGGCACAAATGCTTTCGAACAGAAAACGTTTGTGTCTAGCCCTGCGGGGTGTATTCGACAAAATAACCCCTGCTCTTCGGTCTATATTTCTCAAATCACATTTTAACGTACATCCCGCGCCTTTTAACCCAAACCATTTTTTGAACACCCTGTAGACCCCACGCCCAACGCCTTTTTACCCAAACCCTTAGAATTAAGGAATAGAGACCGAGATTTGATGATTTATTGCATGATATATCGCCAAAAATGTTGTTCTGTTCATTGTTAAAAGGCAATGGCCAGAATTAAATTTGAGGTCATATATTTGACATAAATCATAAAATCTCGGTCTTTGTTACGATTCGAATATGATAAACAGACAAGTAAAATACTAACTATTTCCATTAATGAATTTTGGCGGTCATGCATACTCCAATGAAGACCAGTAAATCAATTATTCTAGCTATTGTGGCGTCACTTATCATATTAGAATGTACATTTTAACATAGCTATGAATTAATGGAACATAATATCTAACAAAATAATACACGAAATAAGAAAATACACGTGGTTTGAGTTTTCTATTTCTAAACTATTCCTTAAAAGTCAAGGATGTGTGATTATTACAAAGCAAACCCATAATATATACATTTATTATATCATTGCTAGAATTTGTGTCCTTTGATTGGCTGATTCAGTACCATGTGATCAAAAATACCAAAGCGTATTTCACAGCTCTCTTAATTTTGGAATTATAAAAGACGTATTGCCCGGCGTATTGCCCGCCCGGGAATTCTGAATCGTCCCGTTTCGTCCAGTACAGTTGTGACGTGCATCAAAATGGCAGACGGAAAAAGATTTAAAAGTCTGAATTCCGATGAAAAGAACGACATCTTGAGGGATGTGCATTCTAAAAACACCATTAAATCAACGGAATGACATCTAATGTCTTAGAACATTTTCAAGTGTTATGTGGACGAAATAGACGTTAAATCTATCGATAAAATCGTTCTGGATGGAATTTTAGAGGATTTTTTTTGAACTGCGAACGAAGGATGGGGAATATTACAAGAGTGCCCAGGGCTCTCACCAGAAAAAAATTAGGGTGTGGTGCTTGTTACTGCGAATACGCGATTCGAAGCGTGAGTAAAGCGAACGCATGAGTAAAGCGAATGCGCGAGTAAAGCGAACGCGTGAGCGGAGCGAGCCTAAGCTATTAAAAATATTTTGTAACTATATTCACTTGCAAAAGTTCTTTCATGCATAATTTGTGTACAATATAAGAAATATACATTATACCTTCTTCTATTGAATCACTGCAAACTTTCTGATTCTGAATTATAACCTGCTGGATTGGCAGGCCATACTTTTTGACTTCCTGTTTACTTGCTGAATTATAACCTGCTGGATTGGCAGGCCATACTTTTTGACTTCCTGTTTACCGGCAAGTATAATTCACTCAGTATTTCTCAAATACTGATGATTATCTGTCAATTTCACTTAAGATTTGTCTTCTCTAAGGTAGGTTAGTTCATGTTCTTTTATTCTGATCACGTTTTGAGTAGAATTTACAATTAGTTTTATAGAAGAGATAGGTTGAATTTTTTTCAATTTTTTTTTGATCTTGGCCTTGGGCCGTGATCTGCCGTCGGAAAAGTGACTCTGAAGCTCCTTGCGCAATTATTTTGGCGCAGAAGCGGTACCTCACGTTCAATACAAATATGGCTGTCAGGTAAAAGAAATTTGTTTATAAATCGTGATTTAACACGATATTAGCGTGAATTTTCAACAATTTAGGCTGTGGTTACTACAGTTTAGACTGTGGTTACTACCTTCTATTTTGGATAGGTTGTGGCGGCACTCAATTAGAGTGTGGCGGGGCGCCACACTCTAAAAGCGTAGCGAGAGCCCTGGTGCCAGTCTGCCCCCGGCAGTCTGCAAAGTAAGCGAATGTCTAGCAATGATATAATAAAACAAATATTTCATTCTATGTTCGGGCAATACCTGTTGCACTTTCAATGATTTTTGCAGCATGTATTTCCCTCGCCCTCCGGGCTGCGGGCAATACATGCTGCAAAAATCATTGAAAGATGAACAGGTATTGCCCTCCATAGAATGAAATATTTGCTTAGTATTATTGTATAAATATTTACAAAAGAAATTTATTATTAAATTATTAAATATTATTGCAATTGTATTATACCAATATTCCAATTTAGATCACAGATAAATTTAATTTCTGAAGAGTTGTGGTGGAGTAAGTTTACTAGTTCATCCACCAGGGCTCTGAATATTAGTGTTTGTTTGTGTAGTACACATCAATGCCGTCCGATTCAAGAATACATGATGCGTTGCCACAAGGTGGGCAGGTATTAGCAGGCCAGTCGCAAGCCTGTTTCCTGTCGTTAAACACCGTCCCTGAAATCGGAATACGGAAATAGTGTTGTGAATGTGTAACATTATTTAGTATAAAACAAAATTCATGAGATATGAAACAACATGTTAACAGTTTGCGATTGTTGTACGTACGCTTCTAATTTTGGTATTCTTGTGCAAAATCAGAAGACTAATGGATTAAAAAACCAATGTCATTCAAACTATTTGATAATGACCAACCATCAATTATAACCTGATTAATTGTCAATCTAAATAGGCTGGGATTATATTATATTATTATGTTATATCACATAACACCCAGTATATTATTTCACATATATAAACACCCAGTATGCAAAACTAATGTAAGAAGGCGATGAAGTAGTAGTTATACTTACCACTGGGGCAAATGTTATTGCCCTGGAAAATTCCACTTTGGCAGAAGTGATACGATAAACAGCTGTCATCAAGGTTGGCATAGTAACCATCTGCCTTTCCGGTACAATCTCGCCAAGAGCCACATGGGGGTGGTATTCTCTCAGGACTAAATGGTAACAAACCGTTGGTAACAAAACATGGTTCGTGGGAAGTTGAAAATAACAAAAATATATTATTCGAAATTTTAGGAAATAACGTAGGGAATGTATTGTATTTTTTATGCAATCTGTACTTATCTAGCATTTTGTCCAAAGGTACAGGGAACATCCGCAACTGAGATACAATGTATTATTCAAAACTGTATACAAAAATAAATTTTATTTTTTTATCTTTAATTTTCCAGGATCGTGTTGTTGAAAAATGGAAATACGTATAACCAATAGAAAGTTTCCTTAATAATAATACATTTTATTAATAAAATATATACTTACAGGTCACAAACAAGAGTGTCGAAATTAAGCACTTGTCCAACGGGACAATCTACCCGGTTTTCGCCGTTATTTTCACAGTATATATAGTAGGTGCATGCGTATTCACAGATGACAAGGCCCGGAGTGTTTGCGCAATCGCACTGGGCTGTTACGCCTGGATTTAATGACAATATATGCGAAATTAATTAATAATGGCATAAACATGTTTTATGAATTAGGTTCTGATCAATCTTTGCAACATTTCAGAGCTTTTAAAAGCGGCCCATTTTCACTACTTAGAATAAAAAGTGAATTATTTCATTTTAGTTTCATATTACTGTCTGACAATTTTGATTTCACAATTCTGTCTGATCTGATTGTCTGATCAAAATCTGATTGTTTCTGTCTGTAAGTTATAATCCAAGTAGTTTTACAATAGAGAATAGTTTTTTCTTCATCCCTTATGATGTCTTTGAATCAAAGTAAATGCTAGTCACATTTGCCGTTAAAATCACAATCATATTGTTGTTTACAATGTTAATTACAAAGACCAACGATATAATCATTACCGCTAACAACAGCAACGAGTATTGCGAAAGTACCTCCTAATTGTGTCATATTTTGGCGTTAGTATATTGTTGTTTCTTTGCGAACGGTTTCTGATTACACTGTGTTGCTGTTCAAATTACATCAGTTTATATAATGCAACATAGTATGCCCAAACAAAACTTATTTTACTTTTAAGGTTGTGGTGACCATTGATAAGCCAAGTGTAGTCATTATTTTTGGTGTCATTTAGCCATTAACAACAAATGAGTTACATAATTATACATTTACATCTATGATTTGGTATTCAGGGCATAATTTTAAGAATAAGATAAGAACATTGATTTACACATGGCATATATTTTATTCAATTTCCAAGGATTTTTATCTTTTCTGATACCAGCAAGTCCTGTCAGATTAATATGTGCAGCTGTTTCTACTTTACGAAATATCAGATGACTAAAAGTTGAGACGGGCAAATTCAACCAATAAAATAAGATGGGGAAATTCAACCCTTAAAATATAATGTTAAGAATCGCAAAAGCCGTAAAGCCTTAACTTAAATAGGTTATAAACTCATAAATCAAAAACTAGTGACCTGAGGTATCGACAGTTCTTTGTACAAAACAGAGAATGTTAGTAGAATCAGTGTGTATAATGGTAGAATATTAAATAGGCAGAAAACAAATGTGGGCAATTATGGAAACTAGACTCTAAAATGCTATAATTATAAAAAAAATAAAATGGAAACCCTTACACCATTTTCCTCATATATTTGTCATTTTAAAAAATAACTCCCTGATATTTTGCACATCTGTTCATCATTCAATTTACTACCAGCCTAATTTATTTCATGACCATCAGATTGATAGTCACAATGTAACAGACTTTAAAGAACATGCCCTAGTGGCCACTATTGCTCTGTCGGGCCACCTGCACTCGCCGTCCAAAATGTCCCTACCTGTAGGGATATAGCAAGGAAAAAGTGTATGAGAATGATCTCAGGACAATCACAAACCTCAAAAGTGAGATCATCCTTATCATTCAGTCCATACCTGCTGAGGAATGCATTCGGCCCATTGACAACTGTGCAGGTTTGCCTACAGCGCAATGATGGCCAAACTTGAAGCATGTTATTCAAAGTGCTTTAAAATTGTGACTATAGTCTGATGGTCATAAAATTTGGTAGGGTGGTAGGAAATTGAATGATGTACAAATGTGTGAAATATCAGGGAGTAGTTCCTAAAGATGACAAAGATATTAGGAAAATACAGGGTTTCCATTTTTTTGACCACCCTGTACATTTTCACTTTTCATTGTCAAACACGTTTCGTGACCGAGAGAAATGAAACATGAAAACGTGACAGAAATCATTCCATCCGCTCAATGACGAAGTTAAGCGGTATGATTGAGTGAATTCACAACTATGTAACAGTCGTCTAACCCCCAAGTCACATTTTCTACGGCCGCCGTGCGGTCTATCATTTCTGTGGTCAGTAACATTTCTACGCTCGCCGTAGAATTTCTGCGGTCAGCTTCTTTTGCAGTCACATTTCCTACAGTACGGCAACCGCTAAGCGAATTTTGTTGATATAAAAATCACGGTTGCCGTGCGACCTTCTAAATGGTGAATAACGGTCGCCGTACAGTCTCCCTACCTACCCATTCATACCTGTTTGACATCCGCCATGAAGAATATCGCAATAACAAAAAGATGGGGGTCCAACTAGATACACGAAAAACGGTTAAGTTAGACCTATCTGATGTTTGAAAATCAAGGATTGTGAGTCTTCAAACTTTCTTCAAACTTGTTCCATTCAAAGCAAAACAGAAATGCCTTTCTGTAGGTATAACTCTGTTATACAGGGCGCTTCTCACACCTGGGGACCCAAACGCCGCTATTAAGTCGAGGGACTTAGTACAATAAACCAATGCACCGGCAGAAAGGCAATTTTATATATTGCTTTTTATCATAAATTCCTGGCAGTGCTAGACTTCAACATAATCCGAGACACTACATGGCCATTCAGCTTTTAATGGAACAAGTTTGATGTAAAACACTGCAGTATCAGACTCACAATCCTTCATTTTCAAACATGGGATAGGTCTAGAATTCAAATTAACGGGCGTACTTGGCACCGCGTGAAACTGAAGGAGGCAACATTGGCAGAGTAGGCAACAGATATTATAAAATGTACTGGTCAGTGGTCACTAGAAAGAATGGGTATCGATATGGCGATTGCTATTTCCAGGTGAACCGTTTGGTAGATCAATTTGAAATTTTCAGGGATGATTCTTAGTATAAAAATCTAGATCTGATCAGTTTTTTGGCATTCTGGATAAATGTCAAGGCAGCCATTTTGGATTTTCTGTTTCTAAAATCTTGTCTGTAAAGTCATGTCTACGCTTTTCCAGGTGAACTGTTTGGTAGATCAATTTCAAATTTTCAGGGATGATTCCTAGTATGAAAATCTAGATCTGATTAGTTTTTGGGCATTCTGGATAAATGTCAAGGCAGCCATTTTGGATTTTGTGTCCTCAAATCTTGTCTGTAAAGTCTTTTTTACATGTTTTCTGGTGAACTGTGTGACAGATCAATTTCAAATTGGTGGTGTGGTTCTTAGTATAAAAATCTAGAACTAACTAATTTTTTGGTATTCTGGGTAAATTTTAAGGTGGCCATTTGGATTTTCCGTCGTCAAATTGTGTCGGTAAAGTCTTGTCTACTCATTTTTAGGATAACCATTTGACGGGATCACCCATAGGTGGGGACATTTTGTACACATTTGTGTTCTTGTATACATTTGAAGAAAGGTCCGTGTGCAGTATGGCAAGTGATTTTAGACGGTCATATCTTTCACCATGAGTACTTTCTGGGCATAGATACACTGTTTTTTTATTAAAACAATATGTTTTCTTTCAAGTGAAGTCCCCGTTATGATAAAAATATCAATCGAACAGTTCGACAAATTATAAATAGGGACCCCACGTCAACAATTTTTCAAAATGTTGGACTTATTTGCTCAAAAAGGATCTTCTTTTTCTGATTTTTATTGCATGAAAACATTATTCAACAAGGGGTCTATAACATCTTCAAAAGAAGAATGGTATTGAAAGTCTAGTTTTGAAGATATCAATTTTCGATGACCAAAATCATGCTAAAAACAATGGATAGCATGAGTTTTCCCTATGGGAAAATAACATGGGAAATGTAATAACAATGGATAGCATGAGTTTTCCATATGGGAAAATAACATGGGAAATGTGATTTTTAACTTTATCGCATTTCTATACCCGTCCCCCTCTCAGAAGTTTTTAATATAGTGTAGAAGAAACTTTTGATACATTTAAATTGGGATCCTCTCCTTAGAAAATAAGTCTTACATTTTTAAAAAGGTGACAAGGTGGGGTCCTAATCCATACATTTTCATAGAGTTGGATTGATATTTTACTATCATGGGGACTTCACTTTAAAGAAAACATATTGTTTTAATAAACAACACTGTATTTATGCTCAGAAAGTACTCATGTTGAAAAATATGACCGTCTAAAATCACTTGCCATACTAAGCTTACACATGGACTTTTATGCTTATTTATCAATATTCAAGATGTCAAATTTCGACTTTTGTAGTTATACGTTGTTCAGTTGATTTGTTGATTTTACCAAAAACGTTCAGCTTAAAAATAATTTCGTAGCTGAACAGTAAAACTAAATAAGTATTGATTCAGTGCCTGACAATATGATCTCTAATTGATTTTTATTCACAAAACAAAATGTCCTTTTTGCAAAAAGTGAACAACTTTATTTACAAGTAGATATGCGTACTATACAGCTTTGTAGACAAACTGCAATGCATGTCGACAAAATATCAAATCTGTAAATTCCTACATCCAACTAAACATAAGTCGACATCGACTGTCGTAAATTGTGTCTTTTTTAATTGAAAATGCCGTTTCTACTCCTAACGTCACTTGAACATCACGTGATTAAACGTCATTTCCTACCACAGTTGTAATCTCTCCCTCACAAGGATACAAGGGGTCACCAGTCCCCGTACCGCACTCGGGACAAACATTATTTGGCCAGTTGCATAATTGACGAGGTTCATCAAATATCAAACCTGGAATAAAAAGCAAGATGAATCCCTCCATGTATGTAACATATTTTTAAGAATGACCTACATGTATGCGAAAATCTTAAGTGGCCCTGGTAGTCGCTGATCGACTATTGATTTCAATTACCCAATCAAATTTTTGAATCTCTCCCGAGGACAATGGCCGGGATCGCGCCTTTTATACTTAGCTTGTATTCGCAAATGCAACTAACGCCTGTCGGCTACCGGATTAACCTACTATTTTATGGGTAACTCATCTAAAACCTGCCACGTTAGTTGCATTCGCGAATACAAGGTAAGAGTGAGCATCACCAAAAACGGGCGTTCGATTTGCTAAACGTTATACGTTATCCTTTAAAATATATGATTACATGACTAATTTTAAAATTGGTATGTTTTCCATTAGCGCATGGTTTGAAAGTGTTGGTGGGAATTGTTTTACAATACAGTAGTCACGGGATGCGATCGAAAGATTTGTTCACCGTGATGAGCATGCTATTTTGCATAAAAACTAAGAAAAAACATATATTTCGTTATACGTATGAAAATTAGCTATTCCATGCAATGGGTATATCATTCGTGGGTAACCTTCACTTGAAGTCCAATAACGCTACGGGCAAAGGTTATTGAAAGCGGCGGAAGAGTATCATACTCTAAAATGCACCATTTGCCAAACCCCCTTTTAGAATTGATACGTTGATAGTGTAATTGCAAAGAAATATAAGGTATCTTGTATTAGACATTTAAAACTCCTCCCCACGATCGACAAAAAAATTAAACGTTAATTTTCGGAACAAAAAATAAAAAGACCCAGTGCATCTACATCATTTACACCTCAAAGTTATACTGAAAACATATGTAAAAACTATCATGTCACTATACCATGCCATTAAACAGTTAAAAAAGAGATGGCATATTTTGGAATATGATACCCTGGCACCGTTTTCAAAAGCTTTTACCCCTTGCGTTATTGGACTTCACATAGAATTAGAAGTGGAAGTTGCCCGCAAATGATCTACCCATTGTACGAGAAGATTTACCATCGGGGCAGAGGTTGTTTGTTTGGAATTCTCCACCGATACAATAATGATACGACAAGCAAGCGTCGTCCAGATTGGCGTAGTATCCGTCAGCTTTTCCTGTGCAATTTCTGCGGACTCCACAGGGGGGTGGCACATTATCTATTCTGTTAGGTGAGAAAAGGATGTCGAATAAACCAGGTGTTCACTCGGTTTAAGGCTATTAGAACACAGGCGTGTATAGAAACGGATATACTTACAGTTCCTGTAACGGACAAAAAAGATTATATGATGATTTTATACAATATCCACTTCATTACTAGAGTTTGAAAAAATAAATAATATAACTTTGATCTATATCCTTTTGACGAGACTAAAAACGATTTTATTGATATGTATTCATGATCAATTTTACAATATTTCAAATTTTTTGTGGGAAAAAGGTCGAAATAGATCCCATTTTTACACAATGGCTAGACTAACCTTGTATTCGCGAATGCAACTAACGCATGTCGGCTACCGGATTAACCTACTCTTTTATGGCCAACTTATTTGAATATGAGTGAATTAGTGGCAAAATACCCATAGAATAGTAGGTTAACGCGGTAGCTGCTAACTGTTACTTGTATTTGCGAATACAAGCTATGAGCACACAACCATTCCATGTGCCCACATTTATAGGATACAGGGTACAGTTAAGTTGCAAATGGAGCGGGTATTCTCGATCTTTTCCATTGGGCTTTTCTGGTAATAATACGTTGCAAATTGCTCGATGAGTCTATACAATGTATAGTAGAACACTTGGAATATATGTAAAATCTAGTATACCTTCAGAACTATGGAAATAAACAAACGTCCTCCATGTGCAAGTTCGCTGTTGCCTGTATTTCTTTTAAAGGAATACAGGATACAGTGCAGTTTCATACAGATCAAGTTGAAAATATTTGATTAATCAAGAATTTTAGGAAGTTTGTCAGTTGTCTCCATGTATATCTAGTTCATGGTATGACTCCGGAATATTAAGAATCCGTAACACAATATAGTGCAGCAACATTTGAACCAATATTAAAGGAGGTCCGTATGTCTTGATTCTTTTAAAATGCCATTTGCTTAAAATACTTTTTGGGTCGAAATATGCCTCTCATTACAAGGGGTCAAAAACGTAAATATTTTCATTCGAATGTTTTCATATTTTATAACACTCAAAACGTTAATGCAAGCATATTTACAATAAATTGGATTATAATTATGTCAGACAATTTTAGCATATTTCATTCTTATATAAAAACGATTCATTGATGCCATTTACATCACATATATTGGAAAAATAATTAAAAATGTTGATGTGCTGATTACGTGATTTTTTGTTTTTCTAAGAAAAATAACATCAAAGTTATGGTTGAGAAGCTTAAAACATACACTCAATATATATATATATATCCTTGGTTGAGCCTATCTTGTTGTATGGCGCGGGAGTATGGGGCAATGCTCAGTACACCGAAATAAATGCAGTGCAACACAAGGCAGCGCGTTATTTTTTGGGACTAGGACAAAAGGCACCTAATATTGCAATGAAGGGAGATATTGGCTGGACCTTAATATTTACAAAACAACGCGTCTCAGTAGTTCGTTTATGGTGTCGCCTAAAAAACATGGACAATTCTAGAAACATGAAACATATACATATTTGGTCAATGCGTCGAGCTCGGACCTGGGAAGCAAAAACAATTAAACTCATTAAGACTCATGATTTTGATCATCTTATAACACGAGACGAAATCCCTGACATCAGAGAAGAACTTCGTGATTTGCACGATATTTTATTTAACTGTGATCACGAGCTTTGGCATCGTCAAATGTGGAATGACGGACGCAATGTTAATGGTAATAACGTTAGAACATATCGATTACATAAGACACACGCCATTGGTCCGGAATACTATGTTAATGCGAACCTCACTCGCTTTCAGAGGCGTGCTATTGCCCAACTTAGAAGCGGAACGTTGCCACTCAAATTAGAGACTGGGAGATACACCAACATTCCACTTAATGAGCGACTATGTCTCTGTGGCAACGCCGTGGAAACAGAAATTCATTTTGTTATAGAATGTCACCTTTATGAGACTGAGAGGAGAGAGCTTTTGCATAAGGCCAGCAGGTCGCTAATAGGGAATGACTTTGATACCACTAGTCTAGGGCTGTATTGCTTACTTATGAATTGTGAATTGTTGCAACGTTCCCTAGCAAAGACTGTAATTAAACTTTGTATGAAACGTCGAACATTCTTATATTAACTTATTAATCGAATTGTTGTTAAGTGTCTCATATGCCGACATCGGCAGGGCCAATGTTTTTAATATCGTTTTAGTACTATGTAATATTTTATGGCGTGGCACTATAATAAATAATAAATACAATACAATACAAAATATATATATTATATTTCATATAATTTTCTGTAGAAATATATACTCCAAATTGTAAAAAGGGGATTTAGTTTTTACTAATATTTTGACCCCTGCTAATGACACGCATAATTCAGCCCAAAGACCCAAAGAATATTGAACGTCTATAATAAAAAACAATACTAGACATGTGCACATTGTAGGTATGTAAATATGAGGTCAAATATCGCTGCACTATATCGTGCATCCTCTTAAATAAGCAGGTATCCAGAATCCGTACCTCCTTCTTCCCTCTTCTATACCAATTTGGAAGCGCCCGATTAAACTGAATCATGTGATCTTATTATGCACAATGACTTATACATGTTTCCTGCCGCGACAGCCAATCAGATTGCGAGTTCTTAATCGGGGAAATGCTAACTGCTTATCGCAGGGGGTAAAAAGAAAGAATATATTCTGGATTTTGAAGTGCTGTGATCGGAGGATGTATATCGTGTTACCAGCTCCTAATTAGGCGTAATGGGAATTCCATAGCATGGACTAATAGTGGTATTCCATAATACCACCATATCAATGTTGATTAACATCTAAAGCATCCTCCTAAGCAGGTGTCCAGAATCCGTACCTCCTTCTTCCCTCTGCTATAACCAATTTGGAAGCGCCCGATTAAACTGAATCACGAATATGCGCAATGACTTATACATGATTTCTGTTGTAGTGTTGCGACAACCAATCAGATTGCGAGTTCTTGATCCGAGGAAACTAACTGCTTATCGCAGGGTTTAAAAAGAAAGAATATATTCTGGATTTTGAAGCCCTGTGATCGGAGGTTACATCTAAAGGTGAACAATGATTTTTAGAAATATCAAATATACAGACTTTATTGCATGGCAAAATTGAAGAAGGACTGCTTTAGGAGTTTTAGGTGTATCAAGATATTCCTCAAAAGGTGCTGACTCGATGTTTTGTATGACACTTACATATCGCATTCACCATTGTCAATATTGACGACATCCCCGACCTCGCAGTCTTCTCGTATCTGCGTTCCGTTATCACAATAGATGTAGTAGGTACACGACCATTCACATATGGTGGGGTCGCTTCCAACATTGTCGCACTCACACTGTGATGCGACTCCTGGAATATTCAGAATTATAATCAGTATTCATCTACTTAAGATCTTTGACAGTGGAACTACTCAGACATTGTACCCGTTTATTGTTCGTCCCATCCCGTCTTCATCCGTCCTTCCCTGCCAAAGTTTATCCTGGAGCCGGGCAATTGTGATTTGAAAATGTAGCCCAAAAATGTCGATATTATCTTCAATTTACATAAGGAAATATAACATTTCAAATCTACATAATCCTTTTCGAGAATTTTGATATTTTCAAAATTTTCAATTTAATACTCTTTCATGAATATCAATGTTTTATATGATGTCGATACCTTTCGATTTTGAATATAAGAACTTGATAACTCCTAATCCATTTCGAGGGTACTTTTGGTCTTATGCACGAAGCATTCGCAGAAATGCTGAGTAGATGGTTTTTTATTTAAATCATGTTCCCTTTTAAATATAAGATACTCTAGATTCGCCACGTACCTGTAAATACACATACCACCAAGACGAAAACTATTGAACCTCCAGTATGCCTCATTTCGGTGCTTTTGCTTATTTTACTTTCTTGAGTGTCACAGATGTTTCTGTTCCTAAATATAAATAAGGGAATGACCTATGCCCTCTATGTTCGTGTTGATTTAGTGACCATTTTACAGCAGGCCAATATATATTGTAGATAATAAAAACGCCTAGTGGTCAAATATAAATCTACCCATTATTTCCACATTATTACAATTGCATTTTACCTGATATTGAGAAATCAGAGGTTGAAGTTTAGGTTTTCATAAGTTTGGTTTTTGAAATATCAAAATAACCCTGAAAACTGAATTTCAATCACTTCCATTTTGTTATTGTCTCGTATACCATTATTCTGCCCATCTAGACAGGATATGACTCATGTTCCATTGTGACTGATATAAAGGTACTGGATGAGCTTGGACCATGTTTTTGCTTACAGTATTGCATTTTTCTAATTATGTTAATTATGTGTAGCATATCATTTTTCATTGATTTTGAAAATAATAGGGTCTAGTTTTACAGCATCTGCGAATTATTGCCATATATACCCCCCTGGCTACTTTTATGAGGGGGTACTATGATAATCATCAATAATTTATGTTATACCTTCAATCACATTCTTATTTCATATTTCCAGGGATTATGTATATATATATAATTAGTAAGTTGCTATGACAAGTGTGATTATGATTGGTCGAGTGGTTGCCATAACAACACAACTTAAGTGCGAAAAATTGTAAATATTTTGGATAAATCAATCAGATCTTTAATTAAAAGGTAAATGACAAAGGTAAAAGGGTATAACAGGTCAGTAATTGATTAAGTTGAATAAACTTTTTTTGTTACAATAATATCAAATCTGATTTCTTTTGTTTGTACGACATGTATGGTGTCATGATTTAACTGTATGATCTCCTTTGTTAATTGCATGCAAAGTATACATGTACTTATAAGTGATCTTCCCATTATTTCCAAATTATTATAACCATTAGTCACATGATCAAAATTATGTATCTGATTGGCTCTGCTGCCAACCCAAACGGATATGACAAGGTGGGCCTAATTTTTTTCCTCATTTTGCATTTATAACAATATCGCACTGGATATCTCCAAAATGAGATAAGATCCATTGAAATGCACTCCAGAAATGAATACCTCGTGAAAAATTGGGAAACATAGTAAACTTATCTCAACACCTGTAAAAAGTGAGTTATAACAATGTGGAAATAATGGAACGAAATGTTGAAATGTTGTAGACATCGAGGGAGTATTTGAAAACTTACTCGTATTTATGATATTTAGTCGACAGTCTAGATTGCTGGATTCAGTAACAAGACGAACAATTGTGCGCATTGATATGACATGCAGATATTTTGCTCACCCTCTTTGTCCACCCTTTTTGTGAAACACCCATCTAATCTGATAAGAAATACATGTATTTAGGACAGTGTCATACAGTGCGAGAACAATGTGACCTAACTACATGTACCTAGGCGTCTTCAAGTTTATCTTGATTGCCAGAATGTACATATGTTTTCAAGTACCTTGATAAATTGTTCTTACTTGAGAAAATATCCTTGCATGTACTACACTCATCTATCATTGTACTTTTAAATTAAAAGACACACCAAAACGTCGTCACTAGACTGCCCTTGCCCTATTATGTTATATTAATCTGTTTATCGGATGATAAGAACAAACGTCAGACTTGGCACTTCGGATTCGAGACTCACATCCATGTCAATTCTTAACATGGCATCCTCTTGATTACTTTATGAAATTGTAAACAAATTGATTGGGTTGATCTGCAAATTTGATTCTGATTTGTTCAAGTCAACTATTATGATTTTATAATCAAATTCTGTTCCACTCCTACGGTTCCTCCAACAGTTTTTTTAGATTTAACATAAGGGTTATGTACTGGAAAGTGTAAGATACGGTGTTTATCTCATGGAGAACATTTAAAGTGGGAGTTTGATGGAAACAACTGCATGGCCTCAGAGAAAACAGGATAGATACAGAAACATCCATCAGCAAATATTCCCCGCATTGGAACCACAGAAAATATGATTCTACTATTCTAGTAAATAAAGTAAAAAGATGAATGGCAATTTTTGTTCTATATAATTTTGATCATTTAATCTCAATGAAGTAAAACGCGCTACGGGATATTCAGTGTCATTATTGAGGTACCAATTAGGTTAAGCTACACGTTTTAAGAGCAGGTAAATACTATGAAGACGAGAGCTAATCCCCGTTGACCATTTTTCTACGTGTTCACGTTGTCTATCATTTAAACAAACCAATCATATAATAGCAACTAGAATCTGCTCAATAATCGACAAAATAATTGTATCTCAGTAATGTGCGCCAGTATTGTTCTTGAACAAATAAATTGAGAGGCAGTGGGCTCGATTCTAGTTACAAACATTATCAATTTTAGTGATACACATTTCACAAATGTTATCATTTTCATGTATGTTTGTTGTGTATATCATTTATTTAAAGTCTTTTATTTCATCCAGACTGAAGAGTGGTACGTCCTTCGGGACGGCCATTTTGTCGATTTTGGCCTTGACTTTATATTGGGGTGAGTCTGTTGTACATGGGTTCACAACAAATCCCTCCCCTGTTCCACAAGGCGGACAGACATCGCTAGGATATGTACAAACCTGTCGGTCATAGTCGAAAACAGCATCTACAGAAGAGAAAGGAAAATAAATTATGACAATTGCCTGTACCTGTCCACGTATACAATTACCTAATATAGTATTCTCTATTAGAGTATTTGCAGTTTTACAGGAGAGTACGAACATAGAAAGCAAATGTGCAACTGCGCTTTTTTGTAAATGTAAATGTAATTTTTGTTAATTTAATATTTCAGATATGGGCCAAGGACGATTTTCGGTTTGGAGAACCAAATTCGAAGTTATCAATGTAACCAAAAATGTTAATATTATTAGGACACCCGATATATCGTTGTGTTAATTGTCGTTGATATCAACACACATGATGCAGATATGACAGAATTTGACTGTATCAGATATCTTTTTGCCCATGTTTGAGTTCTTTCATGTGAAGCATTCAAAATTGAATGACAGATGCTGTAAAAGGAATGTTACCAGGCTTAATTTCAATTAGTTTAATTAAATATAGTTGCTTGGTTTAATTCACCTGGTATGCATTCTTGCGCTCTCCCAATCATCCTTTCGTTCCTACATGTGTAATACGACGTGCAGTTACGGTCGTAGTATGGGTACCTGTCATTAACCAAACCTGTGCAGTTCATCTTATCACCACAGGGTGGGTCTACATTTGCTTTACTGCAAAAATAGGGATACATTCATTTGTTATTCATCATCTGATGAGTCTCGGCTATCAAAACTGTTTTGCGTGCGATTTATGGGCTTACGAAAATTGAAATTTTCAAAATCAGTTGTTTTACTGAAGCCTGTGCTGTGTGTTGATACCAGGTTCATTTGATGTGCGCTATTTTAAAGTCATCACAACTAGTTATCATAATCATGCAATATATACTGAAAATATTGCTTATTATTTCTCAAAACCAGCTGAAATGATGATTTTTGTCAAAAAACAAAGTTTTGCTTTGTTTGTGGTTGTTCAAAACCGGATTACAGTGCATATAGAGCATCGATTGCGTTGATATCTTTCAATTCAATTTTTTATATAAAAATATTTTTTGCTGAATCTTTTACTGAATAGATATCCAGATTTCTGATTTGCCCCGAACCCTCCATTTCCCGTTGGATTACTTGGGAATGACGATTTTCAAAAATTCATCAAAATCATCAATTTTCGACCTATTGTAATTGAGGAAAAAAATGAGAAAATTTGGAGGTATCGGAAATAAAGTCAAGTTACGTTTCCATTAATATTATAAGTTATTTCATCTCCGGTTAAGTAAATAATAATTCAAACGTAAAGAGGCTTTAACACGTAGTTCAATGGGGGAGCTAAGGTTGCCAAACTTATGGAGGGGAGTGTACATATATAGTGTTATATATAATTTTCAAGCATATGATATACTTTATCAGAATCAGTCAAGTTTTTTAAGTCCCATTTTATAAGATGTCATGGTTACAAGATTCCTAAAAATGCATTGGGTTTGTACTTGGACGTGATATCACGTCCTTAGTAGTCAACATATGTGCTTTATGACGTCATATCACGTCCTTCGTAGCGAATGAGTTAATTGCATCCCCGTCCTCTTATTCAGAAGATTATGCTAATATTATAAACATATCCCTATTCATTAATTGCATCCCCGTCCTCTTATTCATGAAGATTATGCTATTCCAAAACGTATCCACATCCTAATAATTGCATTATCATTGTACTTACACTTCGCATCGCAAGTCGCCGAAATCAAACACTTGGCCTTTTGGACAATTGACTATTGTTTCCACCTCATCCCGGCATTCTACATATTGAGTGCATGACACTTGCATGTAAATCCCATTTTCTTTACCGGTGCAGTTCACGAAGTTGAAACCTTGAGCAGAAACCTCGCCTAAAAGGCACAATTAAGATAAACTGTGTTACTAAAAGACCGGATATAACATTAACAGATATATGACTTCATAATCATGACTATAATCTTTTGAATAGTTTAAATATTAAAATACATTAGCTGAACATAAAGAACATGTAGTTCGGGGTTAAAATGATCTTGATGAAATAATTTTAACGGGCACAATTATGACTTGTCCAACCCCCTCACAAAGGCAATTTCCAGAACCAATTACCCTGTAGGGTGTTTTAAAGTATGTTCTCAGATCACAACGGCCCTTAAACACGGGGCACAAATATGGTGCTGGTAGTTCACTGATTTTTTCAACAAACTCGGATAACATTAGAACTGGTCCGCCAGTCATTCTTTCCGTCTCATTGGAAACGTTTTTTCTGTCAACAATTTTATATCGCCCGCGATGTAATCCGATTTTGTTGAAAAAAACCCAGTGAACTACAAGCATCATTTGTAACCCCATGTTAAAGGGCCGTCGTGATCTGAGAACATGCTTAAAAAAGAAACGCCCAAATAACCCGTTTATTATCAATAGCAACGATTTACATGTACATGTTTTAAAACATCTTAAGATATGACATACATGTACCTGTATAACACTCCATAATGAACTCAATGCGCCAGTTTGACATAGATAAGATATTCTAAAGAAGTTAAAACATGTAACTAAGATATGTATTATCAATCCTGCAACCTCCGTGGATGGTTGACTTATTGACACGTTAAAACTTGGGTATATTAGCTCTACATGTACAAACTAATAAGGCTCGCTTACTAACAATAACATTAACAATTATGACTGTGAGCTTCTCTCTTTTAGATTCGACTAGCTTTCATTCTTTAATGATACATGACGATGGAAGAAAGGGTAATTGTTGGTAATCTTGCAAGTTCATACTGTTGCCAAAGACCTACTAAGCTACATTGCTCTGCTTCCTCCGCAGTCGACCAAGTTCGGATCCCCTTCAATCTTTTCTCCACCGCTGCCAGAGTCCTTACAATGACCTTCTGGCGATTGGACTCAATGGTTAATTCATACCATTGTTAATTTTTGGATCAAGATCTGATATATTTAATGGTAACTCCAGACACCACTAGGGTAGTAGTGTACATGTTTAATACCCCTACCCCTACACCCCTACCCCTTTGGCTAATATGACACGTTTCTGTACTGTATCCCCTAATCTAATCTCTAGTAATGTTAAACATAATGAGTTTACATGAAATAGTCATGAATAAGTATTGCCTTTAGAGCTGAAACCGAGACCACCAGAAAGGAAATTTATGGATTTTCAAAAAATCAAAGAAACAACAAATACCCTTACATAAAACCCCCAAAAAAGCTTTTGTAGATATAACATGACAAAATGAATAATTCATCATTGAAACAAATGGTGCAACAAGACACACAGCGATAAATATCGCACTTTTGAAAATTAATTTGAAAATTAAATTGATCAAAATAAACAATAAACAATATGCCCAAAAACTATTCAGATCCAGATATTCTGGCTCTATAGTCTGCTCTTGCATCTATAACAATGTTAACTTGAACAGGTAAACGGATTTTTTCCGTTCGATGTCAAGATTCATGTGGCGCCCGCCAATAAAAAACTATTTTTTCTTCTTCGATAAAAGTTAAAATATCAAATGTCTTAAAGTTTTGATAATTCATCTGAGAATGGCTACACTATAAAAAATTAGTATGGATTCCAAATAGTTGATACTTGTATCTGGATTTCAGATGATATAGGCAAACCCGTATACAGGGGCGTACATGAGGTATAATGCAACTTTTGGCTAAATGACGTACAGTATATTAATTGCTTTGAACTTACTTTACAAAGTTTGAATTAAGAAAAACATTCAACTAAAAAAATTTCTGTAAAATGATGACATTGTTGTCTCGCCTGCCTCATGCCAGGTTACGCTCACACATTTACCGAACTCCCAAATGCTAAGAATGTCAGAGACACGAAGTTATGGACAATTTTCTGGTTGAAAGTATCAACTTTCTGATATATCATAATATTACCAATGTGGTCCATTATATCAATTTCATATCCAATCAATTTCATATGTTAGAGCATAGTTTGTAATAGTCATATATATCCATTGAAGAATTATGTAGTAGTTAATATCCTTTTCCCCAAAAGTAAAAATACATAACTATACGTACATGATACGAAGCATGATAAGACAACCGCAGCTATAATGTATTTCATCATGTTGACCGGCTGTTGGTGAGATACTAAGTGAAAGACAGTATTCTATGCTTATGTAAAGTATTGCCTAACATATCTTTATACAATGAGGGTCACGACCCATCATTTTGAATCATTGATTTCGACCAATTGAAAACAGTTTTGAAATCAAGGGAATTAGAAAAAGGTCATAGCATGTTTTATGAGGTGTATGCATTAAACCACGTGTTAGCATGTCTTATTTAATATTTGATGAATTATTCATATCTTTCCATCGATCATGAGTTATGTTAAATTAATGTAAAATATAAAAATACAAATTATATATTTACTTATTTTCAGGCTTCAACCTGCAGATAAGGCATACACCTCATAAAACATCGCTATTTTTCGGAATTAGAATGAAAGTTGAACAAAATCACGGGTTTTTAAATGGACTGTATCGGTCAAGCAGTGACCCATGTATACTAAAACATCGTGACGTCTAATGTTATAAAAATGAGTGCTTTGATTGGCTAACTTAACAAGGATTCATTTCCCCATTGATATAGCACCATTCCAAACAAATGGCTTGTTTCAAGATTTTTCTAATAATTGAACAATGTTATATCAAGTAATGCAAAATTATGCAATGCATATTTTCAGTATGTATTTTCTAGTTTAAAACATAGATACACTATATTCTTCTGTCATATTTATGCAACTATGTCTATAGACCAGATATGTCCAGATTGTTTATCATTGTAACATATTTTACTTCTTAATTTAATTTTCCGTTTTTCCAAATGGTAGGGCGTTTTGGGGGGTCATTTTGTCGATTTTAGCCTTGACCTTATATTGGGGTGAGTCTGTTGTACATGGGTTCACAACAAATCCGTCCCCTGTTCCACAAGGCGGGCAGACATCGCTAGCATATGTACAAGCCTGTCGGTCATAGTCGAAAACAGCACCTAGAAGACACAATCGGTATGTGTAATTTATTAACATCTATCTGATATATTGTAATAACATCTATTATATGCATACTCTTTTAAACCCTTCTCCTTTTGTATTAGAGACAATACATTGAACAACAGGTCTCCATACATTATTTTGTTCAATTTTCTGAGAATTTCCTAGAAACAACTCGAGTTCAGTTATCTAATTAATAGTTTCTAAGTGTCACCACATTATGTCACCATCAGCATGAATTCCACAAATGGAAATACCATGAAATACACGAGCGAGCAGAGAGGGGTGCGTATATAAAACGAATCGTCTGGGAGGATTTAGGATCAGTGATCTGGAATATCTAGACGGAGGTGAAATAGAATAGATCCATTTCAGCAGTTCTTTACATTTCCGGCAAATACACTTAACAGAAATGTCGTAATACTGGTAACATTTCAAAATAATGAACGCTTCAGTTTTTAGTTTAATTACATTTGGTAACTTAGCAATTTACTCACCTGGTACGCACTCTTGAGCAATCCCAATCATTTTTTCGTTCCTACATGTGTAATACCAAGTGCAGTTACGGTCGTAGTAGGGGTACCTGTCATTAACCAACCCTGTACAGTTCATCTTATCACCACAGGGTGGGTCTACATTCGCTTTACTGCAAAAATGTGGATAATTTATTATCTGGTGAGTCTCGTTTGGTGAGGCTCGTTTATCAACCAGGTTTTTGCCTATGTGCCATAATTTAGTGTGACGTGTATCCTGTGTCATTAGTGACATTAAGACTCAAATGCTTAATCCATGTATTTTTGACGTTTGCGTATTCGTTAAAATAATTTCTAACTATTTACATATTTTAAAGTTGTGGTTCTGAATATGTATCTACGTGTTACATAGGAATCCGTAATTTAGTTTGATCAATGTCGTTACACAAAAGGACAGTTGAGCTGTCACGTTTTTAATTAACGCTGTTTCCATATTGAACCTTGAGACTAATAGGGCAAGTGCATACTTAAGGAATAAAGAATAAAAAATCATGTAGCATTCTATATTGGAAATATAAAAGCATGAGTGTACGTACTAACCCATACACATAATGCACGAAGGCGAAGCCTGAGTGCATTATCAGAAGGGGTTCAAATGCTTTTATATTTCCTATACAGAATGATACATGATTCTTTATTGCAAATTATGAAAACTTAGTTGGAAAATCATTGCATTGACTAAAATGAACACACGGATGTTATGCTGTCACCTCTTTAAAAGAATAGTACTGCTCAGTCCGTGTATTTATCAAAAATTAAATACATGACTAAATCATTTCCATGTATACGTTATTAAATTAACACACTGAAATGCTTTAAGCTGATTGGTTGAGACACACTTGGCATGTTTAAATATGAATGGGAGAACTAATCCTTTAAAGTACCACAATTTTTCACGTTCACGTAGAAATTCCAAAAGATTGTACGCAGTCCCCAATGTCAGGATGAATTTTAAGATTAATCCCACAATGCATCATTACCATGACGAATATACTAATCAAGATCGGATTGGGGATTGTACCAATTCACGACCCCAGTATAAAATCCAAAGTTAATCCCACAATGCATCATTTCCATGAAGAAATTTATCTGGATCATATTGGGATTGTACCAATTCGCGGCCAAAGATTTTGTCTTCATCCACTCCCAAGCTAGGTACCTTTATGAAGTCTACAAACGTGTCGGTAATAACCACATATATGAAATACATTCTCTTCCTTTTATTGAGAAGATTATGCTATTACAATTCATTAATAATTGCATAATCGTTCTACTTACACTTCGCATCGCAGGTCGTTGAAATCAAACACTTGGCCTTTTGGACAGTTGACTATTGTTTCCACCTCATCCCGGCATTCTACATATTGAGTGCATGACACTTGCATGTAAATCCCATTTTCTTTACCGGTGCAATTCACGAAGTTGAAACCTTGAGCAGAAACCTCGCCTAAAATGCAAAATGCAGATAAACAAGATTATTATTGTGTTACTAAAAGCCCGGCTATGACATCCACAGCACTCCTGATATTCTTTTTAAATGGAGATGTATATTAACGTTTCTAAGCAAAGATCAGAAAGGGCAACATAACTAGGTGAGAAGTCAATCAAGATCTAAAAACAGATCTTGAATTATTTCAAAACACTACATTCAGTTTACAGTTTGCAAGGAACCAGAAAGGTGTAACACTCCCCTCCATAAGTTTGGCAAACATTTTCCCCCATTGAACTACGTGTTAAAGCCTCTTTACATTTGAATTTTTATTTAATTAACCGGCGATGAAATAACTTATAAAATTGATGGAAACGTAACTTGACTTTATTACCAATACCTCCAAATTTTCTCAATTTTTTCCTCAATTACAATAGGTCGAAAATTGATGATAAATTTGATGAATTTTTGAAAATCGTCATTCCAATGGGAAATGAAGGGTTCGGGGCAAATCAGAAATCAGAATATCTTTTCAGTAAAAGATTCAGCAAAAAATATTTTTATATAGAAAATCGAATTGTCTAACTTTTTTGAACACTAAGTGTTTAGTTTATTTGATGAATATTAAAGTTACAGCGCTTCAAAGTCATTTTTGAAAATAGTTTTTCGCCTCCTGTGTTATTTCAATGAGAGAGGTTTTTTGAAAAACAATTTTGATTTTAAAGCCCTATAACTTTGTTGAACCTGAAGAAACATATCAATTTTTTGTTAAATAAAGTTAGCAAATTCAATTTCCTGCCTAACTCGTATTTTTTGCAAGGACTCGGATGGATGGATATTCTGTCATGTGACTTGCGGCAAACCTACCATTTCCCATTGGTTAACATGGGAATGTCGATTTTCAAAAATTCATCAAATTTATCATCAATTTTCGACCTATTGTAATTGAGGAAAAAAATTGAAAAAATTTGGAGGTATTGGAATTAAAGTCAAATTACGTTTCCATCAATAGTATAACTATTTTCATTGCAGGTTAAGTAAATAAAAATTCAAAGGTAAAGAGGCTTCAACACGTAGTTCAATGGGGGAAAAAGGTTACCAAACTTATGGAGGGGAGTGTACATTTATATAACGCATGAAATGACTAAAACCAACTCCATCCTGGATTTTCGAACTTTTGTATTCCACGTTTACACTATCAATTGATTTCAAAGTAGAATATTTAGAATGGATAATATTGAAAATGAAATATTGAATTACTAGTTGTTTTCTACCAGATGGTATTAATTAAACATATGCACATGTCCACATCGGAATAGCCTGACAACGGTAAAGTCAGATACCGTACGCTGTCAAAAATGGCTACAAAAATAGTTACACGCTTTTAAGAGAACCTGTACGCGAGCTTGTAATATTTCGATCCCCGGGGATTACTGTCCCGCTCTCAATTCACTTTCCCAGCGACCTTTATTAAATTATTTTAAGTTGACATGCTCGAAACAACTGAAAAAATGCCGAAATGTATTGAAGCTCACGTCCCATCGATACGGATTAACCATAAGTACATGTCAAGGACTATTATAGATTAACTATACATACCTGTCTCAAAATGATTTTGATTAACAATATTTACATGTTACAAAATACTATACAGATTAATCATATACGTACATGTCACAAAGCAAGATAGAGCAACAGCGGCTAGTATATACTTCATCATGGCGACCTGCTCGTTACACGCTATTCTAACAGACTAAATGTTAGTACTAAGGTGAAAGACCACTAGACTTATCTTTTACAATAGATGACATGGCCAAAATGTCATGTTATGTATGTCAACCAATAGACTTCGAAATTTAGCTCTGAAATATTTATGTTCTTAAACATGCTCTTCAGGTTGGATTATTAAATCACAAAACTATTTTTTCTTCACAACCTTTATTCTAACTTCACAGGACGTTTCGGATCACATCTAGATCCTTTTTCAACTTTACTGAAAGTGAACTGAACTAAAGCGCTACAAATCAATTAAATAAAAAAAATATTACGTCATATTAATTCACCAAAATTTCATTCCAAATTCCCGCCAATTTATAGTTCCCATGGTCCATGCTCAAATTATTGTTGTTCTTCTTTATAAAAACATATTCTTCAATCCATCTTTCTTGTCTCTTATTGTCATTGTCAAAAACTGCTGCAGTATTGTCCCAATCAATTATGCAATTATTCCGAAGGACGTGGTCCGTAAAGCTACGTTCACACCAACGGCGCTTTGGTGGCGCTTCAAAGCGGCACCAAAGCTAAACAAAGCTTGATTAAAGCGTCGGGGTCGTAATAGGTCGTAGAAAAGCTCGGCGATCTCAACATTTTCAAATGCGTGACAGAGCTTAACAGAGCGTAACCATGCACAACAGAGCTTGGCAATCGTATCAGAGCCTGATTTAAAGCGTCATAATCGCATCAAAGCGTAATAATGCTTATCAAAGCGTGATTTCAAGCGTAAAAAAGCCTGTTCAAAGCGGGATCAAATCGTGAGGAACCGCAACAAGTCGGGAAATCAGAGCGTATCAGAGCTTATCATTTTTGGAAAAGTAAACAAAAATGACGGCGCTTTACACCTAGTTCACACCAACGGCGAATGCCACGCTTTAAATCGGCGAGCAAAACGCCGTCATTTTTGTGTACTTTTCCCAAAATACAACGATCTCCCAAGTAATGTTACGCTCTGATAAGCTCTGATACGCTCTGATTTCTCGACTTGTTACGGTTCCTCACGTTTTGATCCCGCTTTGAACAGGCTTTTTTACGCTTGAAATCACGCTTTGATAGGCTTTATTACGCTATGATGCTATTTTGACGATTTAAATCATGCTCTGGTACGATTATCAAGCTCTGTTGTGCATTGTTACGCTCTGTTAAGCTCTGTCACGCATTGAAAAATGTCGAGATCGCCGATTTGATGCCGCTTTTGATCCAATGACTATATAAAGAAAGATGTACCCTGCGTGCAGAGTCTAGTTAAACTAAGCTCTCTTTTAAGAAGTGAAGTCAAACGAATGCAAAGGGTAAGAAAGATGCAGTAGATCCATACAATCACTACATCTTTGACTCCAGAACACGATGGCCGGCAGAACAACAAGATCCAGAAGTTCCAGATGGACCAGAGCATGATCTATCTGAAGAAGACATGATGTTGTCACCCTGCGTGAAAGAGCGTGGGAGAGCGTAAGGAAGCTTGTCAAGCGTAACAAAGCCTAACAAAGCGTGTCAATTCGTTGGAAAGCTTGAGAGTCTTTCATAAAAGCGTAACAAAGAGTGTCAGATATTGATGAAAGCGTCTGACCTCGTGTCAGATCTTCATACCAGATCGTAGCAAATCTTGAGACATCTTAACGAAGCGTGTCAAGTGGTAACAGACCGTGAAGAGACTGGGGTCCCCGCTTTGAACCAAGCTCTGTTAAGCAGTTAAACAGTTTAAATTTTTTTGGCGCTCTTGCCGAATGTCCCGCTTTACTCCGAGCTTTTAGACGACCTATTACGACCCCGACGCTTTAATCAAGCTTTGTTACGCTTTGTTGCCGCTTTGCAAGCCGCTTTAAAGCGCCATCAAAGTGCCGTTGGTGTGAACTTAGCTTAATAGCTGATTTATCCCAATCTGCTTCTATCTTATGTTCTTTATAAATTGGCGGGAATTTGGAATGAATATTTGGTGAATTAATATGACTCATTTTGGCAAACGGTTCTGGTACGATGTTAATAATAGATACATAAACACATGAATACATGAACACCCAACTTACCTTGTAGTCATTTATGACATATGACTCCAGAATATGAAGAAGCCGTAGCACACTATAGCTCATCAACATCTGAACCAATATCTAATTAAGGAGCTGCATATTTCTTGTCATTTCTATAAAATACAAATTGCTGAAAAATGCCTCCGACTTTCGGGTCCAAATGTGTCTGATCAGTGGTGTTAAACAGTATTAATGATCTGAACTGAATTGTTTTTCCCCTTTAATTTTTTTCAAAATTCTCTAAAACAACTTTTTAAGTCATGGAAAATAGTAAATGAATGATAAAAACAAAATTTTAAACTTAAGATGGGGCCTTCAATTCTTCAAATTTGCTGCAGACAACAAAAGTGTGCGAAATATGAAATTCTATGTTATTCATGATCATTATTATTCGTTGTTTGCTACTAAAACATTTTATTTTCTCTATTATCGACAAAGTTTAAACAACAAATAATTGTTTGTGTTTCATAAAACATAATAAAATGACATTTGAATAAAATATATCACTTATGTGATGTTATGGTTTCTGAGGGCGTGTCTGATATTCTATCATAGGCATACTCCTTACATTTCTTCTTTACTTTCGTGACAATGTTGTAGAGGCCAAGAGCCGACATCAAAATATCAAATGTCTGATAGGAAACTGAAAATTAGTTTGGGGAGAGGGGTTTAACGCACGGGGTTTCCTATCCGATATTTTTTATCATTTTCATATTTCACAAACATGTAAATCAGTCGCTACCTACATGTGCCCCATTCAAATACTAACTGTAGAACATAAAACAGATTATAAATTATGAATGATACAAAAATTATGGTTGATATTTCATACAATACAAAGGAAATAAAACCTAATTTATTTTGTTTCCTATCAGGCATTTATAATTTGAAGCCGCCCCTAAACAAGACGAACCATCTAGCTATCGTTTAATATTTGCTAAGTATCATCAAAAGTGTACAGTAACAGAACAAAATAATTCAACAAGTAATTCAGTGTATTTATTTACAACAATATTTGACATTAATCTATCTCATTTGAGCTGACGTAAAACATTCGTATGAATTTATCTAACTTTAACATCAATTGATTGTATTCATGATGGCACTTTATGGCACACCTGCGTGTTTTCACAGTCAAAACAATCAGTTCAAGTCTTTGATTTGAACGTTTTTGTATATGTCATAAAGTGAGACCCCTTCAGGTTGTTCATCATCTTCCTCCTCTGGTCGAAGATCGCGTTCATATTTATCTGGGTTGCGCAGTCTATGATTCATAGGGGTGTCATCGTCACATGGTTGAACAACTAAGCCTTCGCCTGTACCACAGGGCGGGCAAACATCACGAGGTTCGACGCAAACCTGTCGGTAGGAGTCAAAGACAAGACCTTAAACAAAGCATATGAAACATATTAAAAACAAAAACGTCGCGAGATGTTATACAGCGATATTGAAATTTCGATAAGAAAACGGCAATTTGTTGATTTGAAGACTTGTACAATAGAAAACCATATAAAACAGATAAGATATTCTATATCAGAAATTTTTTCAAAAGATAACGTCGTGGAACACTTTCCTTTATCAAACTTGATGATCATATTTCGGATATACAATTTGAGTATATTGGAACTATCGACCGCTCTGATTTTCTGAAAAGTTAAATAGTAAATACAAAAACAAATAGATAAGTATATACACGTAACTGTTAAGATATTTAGAAACGATAAGTATAAACACGTAACTGTTAAGATATTTAGATACGCCCTCGTACAGTATTCTTGTCTTTTCACAATCACATATGAAGAGCCTTTTAAAGTTAAATATTAATGTTGTTTAAATAATCTTACCGAAGATACATTGTTGGGCATTGCCCCTCATACGTTCATTTCTGCAGGTGTAGTACTCTGTGCAGTTACGGTCGTAGTAGGGGTACCTGTCATTGGCCAAACCGGTACAGTTCATCTTATCACCACAAGGGGGTGACACTTTTCTGCTTCTATAAAACAAACAAACAAATAGGGGTACCTTAACGCATTTCCTTTACTGTCATGAATTGTGTTATAGAAGCACCCAATTAGTGAATAAAACTATGGATATGCCCGTTTCTCTAATGCAAGTTAATGATAAGAAAAGAATTGCAAAACCACTTAGATTTATCAGCTAATGCTCTGTAAAATTGTGTCTGTGTGTTTGACTTCGACCCTCAAAATATTCTTACAACAACTATGAGACATATCCTCCTTTCTCGTCATGTAAGGGACCTACCTACCAAAGGACAAGACCTGTTAATCACTTCCATACTTAGAGATATTTGGCCAGAACGTTCTGATCGATTCTAATATTATTAATGTGATACATTATAATGTACAATTATGTGATATTGTATGATATTGTATGCACATGTCCATATTTAAAAGGGGGTCCAAAATGTTCTTTATTTTTTTCGTGAAGTCACTCAGTAAAATTACGATACCTCTGTACCATGATGCCCAATCAAGATCATTCCAGTACCGTTTGGGCATCCTGGAATGCCAATGTCTATCCAAAGTAATTGCAGGTAATTTATGACTGAAATCGGGAGGACAATACGTTGGTACTCAAATGATCTTGATTGGACATCATGGTGCAGAGAAATCGTGGCTCTACGAAAAAGAAACAACATTGTAGGCCCCTTTAACCCACTTAATACTCATATAATACAATAATTCACTTATTACTCACGAACAATATACCGCAGTCACGGATGGGTTTATTTATGATATAAAAGTAGATGAATAGAAGTGAAATTTAATATGCTATCTCTGTATGTTAGTTAACTTACGGTTCACATCTTCTGTCTATTATATCAAAGACTTCGCCTTGTGCGCAGTTGGAGATTGTCTCTACCTCATCTATACACTCGACATACCGTGTACATGACAACTGCTTATAGATACCGTCCTCTCTTCCTGTGCAATTCTGATATTGAGCAGAAACCCCGCCTAAATACATTTTAAAATCTCATTTATCTAAGAATATGTTACCAAGATGTAAATGAAAAAATGGATGAAAATTGAGACTGTCGACTCGGGGAAAGATCAAAATAGTAACACAATGAAATATCAATGCAGATGGTATAGTAACAAAATGAAATATCAATGCAGATGGTATAGTAACACAATGAAATATCAATGCAGATGGTATAGTAACACAATGAAATATCAATGCAGATGGTATAGTAACACAATGAAAAACCAATGCAGATGGTATAGTAACACAATGAAATACCAATGCAGATGGTATAGTAACACAATGAAATATCAATGCAGATGGTATAGTAACACAATGTTATACCAATGCAGATGGTATAGTAACACAATGTAATACCAATGCAGATGGTATAGTAACGAAATGAAATACCAATGCAGATGGTATAGTAACACAATGAAATATCAATACAGAGGGTATAGTAACACAATGTTAATACAAATGTATGGAATAGTAACACAATGAAATATGAATGCTTATGGTATAGTAACACAATGTAATACCAATGCAGATGGTATAGTAACACAATGAAATACCAATGTAGATGGTATAGTAACACAATGAAATATCAATACAGAGGGTATAGTAACACAATGTAATACGAATGTAGATGGAATAGTAACACAATGAAATATAAATGTGTATGGGATAGTAACACAATGTAATACCGATGCAGATGGTGTAGTAACACAATGAAATACTAATCAGATGGTATAGTAACACAATGAAATATCAATATAGAGGGTTTAGTAACACAATGAAATATCAATACAGGTGGGATACTAATGAAATGAAAAATCAATGCAGATTGTAGTTACAAACCCTTATGTCTTCAACCTTTTTTAAGTCGCCGCATACATAGCAAGGGAAATATAACATATGTGATTTGGGAAATGATGATGATGAACACAATGGACATTGACATTTTAACTATCATCTTCGAAAATAAACGATTAACTTATATTAATTCACAAAATCGTTAATTCATTACACTTAAGAGCACCCTATCGGAAATGCAATAATCAAATTGAATGATATTAATTATAAAATATACTCACAAAGCATGAAGCAGGAAATGGCAAAAATCGCAATTTTGTACTTCATCATGATGCTTTCGACGACAATAGTGAAGATACGTGTTATCTTCTGTATACTTTACGAGATAGGCCACGACCCATCATTGACCATCGGTTTTTGACCAATCGCGCATAGTTAAATGTATCGTATTTGAACAACTGGAATGATAGGTATAGTCCTTCTTTAATTCATTTAAAGGTTGAATCATTACTTCAACTAGTTTGTCATTAAAATCGCCACTGTTTTGGTTTAACTTATAAAATACATTCTTGTTCAACTGTTCCAATTCTGTCTTCGTCGAGGTCAGGATAGAGCATTTTGTTTCCATGTCAACGTTTTGTTTTTGATTATTATTTTTTTATTGCAATCGACAGAAATATACAGTATGACACTAGAATTCTGAAATTGTGGAGTTGTAGTTGGAAGTACAATTTGGTATCATAGTTTACTTGAACAATTAATTCTAACTACTATCAACATATCGAAATAATTTAAGGAATTCTAACAATGATACATTTGATAAGGGATTATTCAACAGTCGGGTCCAGTGAATTATCTCACCTCTTGACCGTGACGCTATTAGTAACAGTTTCAGAGCAGAAATGGGATAAACCAAGGGCGAAGCCCGGGGGCGAATGTAATACCCGGAACGTGCCTCGTTCGCATCTTTAATGTATTTTGCGTTTGGCAAATATATCGTTCTATCAACCAATAGAAATAAGGGGAGCGCGAAGTTTAAATATTTTTTCATATAATCTGTGATGAGGCTCATGCGAAGCCCCACTCGTTTTGTTTCTTTCGGTACAAATAAACCCATGGATTAACTCAAATTAGGTAGATCATAACCTTTTTAATTCTTTGGAGTGACTCAGTAAAACTACAATTTCTCTCCACCATATGACGTTTGTGCATCCGGAAATGACGTACGTCTACCCAAGGGTATGCTATCTCTACGTCTACAAATGATGTGCTATTTTTAGCTCACATGGTGAGCTTTTGCAATCACTCACTTGTCAGTTTGTCTGTCTGTCCGTCAATCCGTCTGTGCGTCTGTCCGTCTGTCCGTCTGTCTGTCCGTTAACAAATGTGGCACGTTTTAAAACCTCTGTCGGTAGGATTTTTCCGTTTTGTTTAATATCGATACAGAAAGTAAGCTCGCGTATTATCAAAATGGCCGCCATTTTTTCTCGCAAAATCTACTTTTAGACCATTTGCTTTAAAACCCAATAGGATTCCCATTTTAAATTATTTCTGATCAACATCAATACATAATCCATGATTTTCCACTTATCGCCTCTGCCAACTCGTTTGTCCATAATAAAATATTCCTTCACATTACTTATAAAACCTTTAAGTGTTGGTTTTAGCATATAGAATATATGCACAAATAAACATACCTTTTAAAAATACATAGCATATTATTTAGGATGATCGTTGTTTCATTTATACTCTCAGGTCCTACTAATACATTTTGTTTAGTACATAGCAGTGTGAGCTCTAAAGGGAGCCATTGTTTAATGTCATTTAATAAAGCACTTACAATAGTACATTCACACAGAAGATGGCAAATCGTTTCAGGATTTGCTTTACAAAAAGTGCAAATGTTTGACTCTATGAGTCCACACATTTTTAAGTATGTATTAGTTGCTTAAAATCTATGAAGAACTTTGTAAGTGAAAGATGATAACTTTGGTTCATAGTTACTCAGTTTGTTAAGTTTATTTATATTCTTCCAATCATTTTGATTAATGGACATTGCTGGAAATTAATTTTTCATATTTCAAAATAAGGGCAGCGAATTTTTGACCTAACTTTTTTCTCGCATACCCTATTAACAATAGCATTAGTAAACGTGTCCCTTTGACAATGAAATGCTTTCAGAGAGAGAATCAGATTTAGCGAGAAATCTCAACAAGAATAGTTTCAATTTTAATTTTTTTTGTTTTTATATCATTCCTTGTCATGTCTTGTCAATTTTGCCAATCCTAATTAATTATAGATCTGATTCTACATTTTCAACATGGTTTCATCAAAGTCTATTGACGTTGCATCGATACATGAATTTGAAATATGTTAGTATTTGGTATCAGAATTACAGCACCTTGATTGCAATATGACACAAGGAAATGTACCAATGAGTAAAACTAAAATAAGTTTTGAATCACAATACAATACAATAACATATACACCCGATAACAACAATCTAAAAGCAAAAAATAATAATGTTATCACCATACATAACATGCGAATGTGATATGATATATAAAACAGGTGTCACATTCCTTTTGATAACATAGAAAGAACAATACGATCGACGACATTAAGTACTTTTATATTATCTTTCGAGGCTAATTAAACCATGGGAGGAGAACATGTAAAACGAGATAAAGTGCGACACAATTAAACGACTATCAGATGTAGAATCTCACAACTTTATTACTTTATTTTTAAAGGCCCCTGTTGCAGTAATACAACAGTTTAAAACTTTAGTACAAATACAGTACAAAAAACAGTCTGGGTGTGATATAACTGATAACTCTATGCATTCCCGGGGACAGTTGTTCAAACAAAACTCTTATCGAGCGTAGGTTGTCGCCGAAAAAATTGTTCCATATGAACCGAATGTCCTGATGGGGATACATTTGTTCGTTTTGACATCTGAAAGTACGTGTATGTCCGCCCTGATAACAGTTTGCACTTTAATAAGTTGACTATATAGGAAGGACCACCCAACTTGTCTGCTGCCTCAAACTGTACTTAGATAACAATGGTGTAACCTTTCTCTCAGGAACAATTGTTCAAAACTTTCGAGCGTAAGCCAAATGAAATTGGCCCATACTGAAAATATATTGTATATCCATTGACCTCTCCTTATGGCATATTCGCTTTTATTAGACAACTGTAATAATATAACCTACACACATTTTCTTCTATACTTCATTTATATCCATTAGTTAATTACGCATCTCGAAAACATATTTTATAAAAGTATCTTTCACATTGTTTGACATCTCCAAAAATCTAGCTAGACATTATTATCGAAGCCTTTGTTCTCCCCATGGAAAGTAAATGCTGACTGGAGTGTGCATTTGGAGAATGGACATAATGCATTTGGAGAATGAACACAATGATGCATAATGAGAATGAAAGTCATTAGATAGAAATATATGTGATTTGGATGAAGTTGAAAATGAAATTCATTTTCTGATAAAATGTCCACACTATAAGCTCCTAAGGGATACCTTCTATAGAGAGATTGTGCAAGAGCAATTATAGACTTGAATAATGCAAATTCACTTTTGACATTTATTAGCCTAATGCTTGCCAAGAAGATTCAAAAACCTCTAGCAGCTCTTATTCATAATATGTATTCAAAAAGGCAATTTGACTATGGCAGATTATAGGAGTTACATTTGTGAAGTCCAGACTTGGTTAAAACTGATACTTTTTAGAATTAAAGATATAACTGGGCAGCAGGTGTGTGTCCCCAATCTGTTATAGTCATTTTCCAGCACTTGACTACAAAATTTATTGTATCAATACAGTTTATTTATGCATGCATATTCATTTATTGTGATAATGGCCATTAATAGAAAATATTTGTCAAAGCATTTAAAGATGGCAGCACTTGAATACTACTCTATCTAAGAGTGCTCTATTAAGTCAACTTACTCTAGTCAATATTCAATTACAATTAGATATACATTTAATGGTGTCTCCTAAGCCGATGCCGGCTGGTGGTTTTTTTTTTAAAAAAAGTATTTGTTATATGATATTGAATGTAGTTTTTAAACCTGTGACACAGAAATAAAATATTTTAAACTAAACTATTAAAACACATCTTGCATCACAGCTTGTTGAAATGTTAAGATAACGAATGCTTAATTTCCTATAATAAGTGATCAGTTAACCACATACAGGGTGGGCCAAAAAAAACCACCCCCCTAGTCATTAATTCTGATAAATATTTATTTTTTAACACGTACACCAACAATGATATATCATGTTAAAGATAATTTAATTTGCAACAAAATGATATATAATAGAACAGTTTTCAACAACCATGGCTCGAGATATAACCATTTATGTGACATGGGGGTCAAAAAACACCTTTTCAATTTTTATCGATTTTGCGAACAATAGTCTATTTCTACCAAATTTTACTTTTCAGTTAAAAATTGCAACATTGTCATGAGTCTTTCATTATTGGATATTATATATTGTTTTCATTCAGTTTTTGAACCATGCATGCTCAATAAACATCTGTATGCTTATAAAACAAATTCATTTCTTCTTCAGTCTGTCCAAATATGACTCAATAGAGCCACCCCCGGACTCACCTTCTGATCGGATTATTCGCTAAAGACACGAAAACCATTGGTATAATTGATGGATCTATGCGGAAGTACCATCAAACTTCTTATTATTCATTCTTTCAGTTTGTCTACATCCCTGATAGGCTAGTGATCTTCATTGACCAACTGTTTTAAATGCCCCAAGTACTTTACATGTAATCAACAGGATAGAGTCTATATATCAGTAAGCAAGAATAGGGACATTTGCGATAAAAGGCTACTCAAATCGACATTTTTCTGAAAGGGTAGTGGTGTCCCCTCGGTGTTTCCCAAAACATGCAGGCCCTGTTTTTGTTGAACTAGGAGGAAAAATATATATACTCTGAATGTTAATGACATGAGATGTTAAAAAGGACTCCTCAAGGATATAAAAACATTTCTTTCATTTTCTGATAGGAAAGGGCTTCATCACACAGGTCCAATTCTACCCTGGAGTTTTTGGAGATTCGAAATGACACCATCTCTAGCCCGGACAAATGGCTTACTGGCAGTCCAGATGCCAATAATGTTGATTACTATACCTGGGGGCATCTAGAAAAGTTGGTATTTAAAGATACCCAGCCTATCAGGGATGTAGAAGAATTAAAAGAAAGAATAACTAGCAGTTGAATGGTACTTCCGCATACATCCATCAATTATGCCATCAACCAATGGCTTCCGCGTCTTAAGGGAATAATCCGATCAGAGGATGGGTCAGGGGTGGGTCTATTGAGCCATATTGGGACAGACTGAAGAAGAAATGAATTGGTTTTATAAGCATACACATGTTTATTGAGCATGCATGGTTCAAAACCTGAATGAAAACAATATATAATATCCAATAATGAAAAACTAATGACAATGTTGCAATTTTTAACTGAACAGTAAAATTTGGTAAAAATAGGCTAAAATCGCAAAATCGATGAAAATTGAAAAGGTGTTTTTTGACCCCCATGTCACATAAATGGTTATATCTCGAGCCAGGGTTGTTGAAAACTGTTCTATTATATATCATTTTGTTGCAAATTAAATTATCTTTAAAATGATATATCATTTTTGGTGTACATGTTAAAAAATAAATATTTATCAGAACTAATGGCTAGGGGGGTGGTTTTTTTTGGCCCACCCTGTATATATATTTCTTGTAAGATACTGATAGATAATTACTAAGTATTTTACTTTTAAAAGAACATCTTTGAGTGCAATGGTCAGATTGATAAAAAGCCAGTATGTTGAACTACGTAGGTTCAGCTCGTGCAATCGAATTCAATGAAACAAAATAACAGTGTTGAGGCTTATGGTCGAGCGTGACATCTATAAATTTAATTTAGTACTAAAGGTAAAATTGTTCCCATATACCCGCATCCATCTACCATTGGTTATGATGTTATTTAAGAGGTCCACTGCTGAAATACAGGCCCTCTAGACTTCCACCAACGCAAACACCAGTTCTGACATCGCGAACTACGTTCCTTGCACTCGAACCACGATTCTCACATCGTGAACGTGAAATCTTTAGTCTCAAACTCTGATGAGGATTACCCTACGCGCAGAGTCTAGTTTAAAGGGTTCCGACAGAGGGGGAGAAACACCAGGGTTCAAAGATGACATACGCTTATAATGTAAATCTGTATTGAGATGACACGGTCGCTGATTGGTCAAAAGTCGACAAACAAATGACGTCATCAATGGCGGTTTCAAAATTTTCGAGTGTTAACCAATATCATAGCTTCTCATTTCACATCAAGATAAAGAAAGGTGTACGGAATATGCCTATATCAATTATAACATCCCATCGAAGTGTAGTATTTGATAACTAGCCGATGAAAATTCGATCGAACGAAGGTGGTAAGCAAGAGAGGTAATTATGTCTGTCATCTTGAAACTCTGGGGCTTTCCCTCCTCTTGGTTCCGATAAGCATCCCGTATAAAAACAATATGGCGGCACCAGGTGAATCAACTGGATCAGTCCATTTTTAAGAAACAAGGGGAGTTCTGTAAAATCCAGTTTATTGAAATTGTCTTTGAGATAAAGTAATCCGTTTATAATGATTTTGAAAACATTATCCATAGAGTGATTGCGTTCAAAGAATATGTACAACAGCCAATATAAATAATTGTATTAGAACTGCTTTGTTTCATTTGTGGATATTTCATATGCCAAGCTGTGTGCTATTACGTTATGGGGAAAATATGTCAATTTTTCCTTATTATACACAAATAGAAGATCCTGAAACTTCACCCATAAATGTGGAATTGATTTGTCAAAATAAAAATCACCCTTTTATAAATATGTGACGATCTATAATAAACTTATACTATATAACAGTTAGAGGTGTTGACACAACGACCTCGAGCCTGTGAACCCTTGAGTATTATTCCGGGATCGGGCCTTTTATACTAAACGGTGAGCAACACCAGAAACGAGCGTTCGATTTGCTAAACGATATGCGTCACCCTTTAAGGAGTGAAGTCCAAGGAATGCAAAGGGTAGATGAGGATGTCATGTATATTGTGTATAATGTATATATATTATAATTTAATTGAATGTATTCTTTGTATTAATTTGGCTTTCCAAATTGGAGGAAATAAAGGCTCATATCATATCATCATTTCTAAACTACGGTGATAGTATTTAAGTAACGCCATCCTAACTTGTAGAG